ACTCCGTACTCCATACCTCCCGCGTATGTCTATCCCTTTCATGGAATTATATTTCGACTATCCCCTTGTTTCAGTTCGGACTGATATTTTCATGTGTGTGCAGCTTCGAAGGTCCTCAATCATCCGATAGAAATGAAGCCCTCTCTTCTGTTTGGTTTCATCGGACTAGGTGCTGCTTTACATCATGTTCCACCTCGCCCGATAAAAAAGTTCGAGCTCAATCTGACATGGGACACTAAGGCGCCCGATGGAGTTGACCGTCAACAAGCCTTGATCAATGGCCAATTTCCTGGGCCTCCTCTCGTCTTTGATGAGGGCGACAAGGTGGAGGTGACAGTGAATAATTTTCTGCCATTTAACACCACGATACATTGGCATGGCATTGAGTGAGTCTACTCCAATAATTACTTAGCTTATCACTAAGGCAAAAATAGGCAAAGAGGAACATCATGGTCAGATGGTGTGCCTGGAGTCTCGCAGAGACCTATTGCCCCTGGCGGACGATTCGTTTCCGAATTCACTGCTTCTCAATACGGAACATACTGGTAAGTGAGGTTTCTGTAGTGACGAGTCTTATTTTACGAACATTTTGAAGGTATCATTCGCATTGCGCAGGACAAATAATGGATGGCCTGTATGGACCGATCTACATCAGGTTTGTTCAAATCTATCCCAATCGAAAACCTATCTATTCAAGCCGGCGACTGAGTATTCATGACCCAGACCGCGAGATATTACTCCCAATCTGGCTGCTATGATATCAAATGACTCACAGGCACATTCTCAGATCAACAACGCAATTCGAGATCCCAAATTACTGATGATTTCCGATTGGTTTCACAACACATCAGAAGAGCTCCGGAATATTGCAGTTGCTGCAGATCTGGATACTATGTAAGTTTCAGAGAGGTATTGGGGGGAAATGAGCTTATAGCTTATACCAATTCTAGATGTACGGATTCCATCCTGATCAATGGCAAAGGCCGCGTGCGCTGCGTCGATCCTGCGTATTTGACCACTCTGACTCCTGCCGCACTGATCCCCCTGCTCCAGGGCATGAACTATACAGCAAAAGGGTATGTGGTAGCTCTCAAAATGGTGATCCCAAAGCTGACAATTTGTTCAATTTAAGATGTCTTCCAGTTCGAAATACCTTTGCTCAAACAACATTTTCTCAGCATAACTACAGCGCAATCCCACCATCACTGTTTGACCAATGCAATGCCACAAATTCAATGGAAGAAGTGATCAAGGTCGATTCTCAGAAGGGTTGGGTAAGCCTTAATCTCATCGGTTCAGCATCGATCTCTGTTCCAACGGGTATGTTTGTTGTTATATCTTAGTAAACTCCAAGAGGAGCAAGCTAACATCGCCTGCTGAGTGTAGTCTCAATCAATAATCATTCTCTTTGGGTATATGAAGTTGATGGTCGATACATCGTGCCCACAAAAGTTAATGTGTGATGCTACCCATCTCACTTCATCCTCTGCAAAGTTAAAAACATCGTACTGACCAAGGACCCACTTCAAGGCATTGTCACTCAACAGCGGTGCTCGCTATTCGGTTCTAGTCCAATTGAATAACACTCCAGGTAACTACTTGATCACAGCAGCCAATGCCGGACTCAATCAAAAGGTTTCCGGGTACGGCACTTTCTCCTATCTCAACGGTGACCCTTCCATCGTGGGGAAGCCCTCGATCAACTACGGTGGAAATAGCATGCGTACCGATGTGGTTATTCTGGATGAAAACAAGATTAAGCCCCTTATCCCAAGTCGACCTAGTGAACAAGCGGACCAAACATATCTTCTCACCATTGGCCGTATTGAAAAAGCCTGGGAATGGTCTCTCGATGGAGACCATTCGTACGGTCTGTCTCTGGAATCAGAGAAACCAGCGTTATGGAATCCCCAGTCCTACAAAGATAGTGACCTTGTTATCGCAACGAAAAACGGTACCTGGGTGGATGTTGTCTTTGGGGTGTCGGGCAAAGAATCGACTATTCAACCTGGTCATCCAATTCACAAGCACTCAAACCTAGTTTATCTTCTCGTGAGTGACTTTGAATGCACCCAATCAGTGCATATTTTATTGTGTTGATCCTGATTTGTGTGTTCAAGGGCGTCGGCACGGGCGAGTTCAACTGGACGTCCGTCGCAGAGGCTCAACAGGAAATCCCCGAGAAGTTTAATCTGGTCGATCCCCCTATGAGAGGTAGGATATATACATCTTTCCTTGTGGTTGTTCTATTGCTGGGAACTAATAGACGAGATAGATACTTTCACAACGCTTCCTGCCTTGCAGGGCCCAAGCTGGTTGGCAGTTCGTTATCACGGTATATTTTGCACTCGCTTTTCTTCCTCTCTTCTCTCCTTTCCTTTTTTCGAAAACCAAGAAGTTAAATAAGTTAATATGGGTGATTTAACAGTGCAAAATCCCGGGGTAAGGCATCATTCCATGTAAGATTTCTCAGAGTCACCGCTAACCAGACAGGCCTTCTTCCTCCACTGCCATATCGACCCACACCTCACTGGAGGAATGGCGTAAGTTACCCGCACATTGGTGTTATTATACAATATACATTAACTAAGCTTCCAGACTCGCTATCTTGGATGGAATAGATGCATGGCCCAGAATTCCTAAACAGTATGGTCCGGAGGGTCATTGGGGGAAAGCCGGCCAGATACAAGGTCGTGATGGATTTAAAGGGTGAATACTTTTGAACGCGGTTTCCGATTTTCACTTCATAAGAGAAATCGCATTTCCCTGTGCGTATCAATGGATGGGCGGGCATCTGGCCAAGCGGTTGTCATTGGCGACATTTGGCGCATTGCCCCTTGGATCTCTGTCCATCCTCAGTGTGAGTGCCATTTGATCTCCAGATCGCCTACGGGCGATGACTTTTTGGCTTTTTTTTTCTAGTTTGATACTTCTCTATGACACTGGTTTGAAAGTATGTACACACAAGAATAGTCGGCCGCGTTAGCGGCCTTGGGACGTCCTTTTGGGAGACTTTTAGGATGTCTTTTTTAAGAGATTTGCCTGCCTTCTCGATTTCATATATGAAAAGGACTTTTCTTTGTATTACCTTAGGACATGAGCCAAAGACCAACACTAACTAGTTTTGAACCGCCTTGTTAAGTCTAGCTTGTCCTTCCATGCCTGCCTTCATGATCATACCGAAGATCTCAAGATCCTTCTTAGCATCCTCCGAAGTGGTTTTAGCCGGCTTACCGTCAACAACAAATGTATAAAGCTCCTTCATTTCCAAAGTATAAGCATCTTCATACGTCTTCCGAACCATAGACTCCCGGAATGAGCCATCTTCCAATTTCTCACGAATGTGCATAGTGGTAGGCAATCCCTTAACGTAAGGCGAATCAAAGCAGATCTTGACAGTTTTGTTCCCACCAAAGACCTCAATTGACGCGTCGAAACGGGGGACATAATCAATTCCAGACTCATAAGACACAGTAAAGGAGGGATATTGGAAAAGGGCACTGGAGAAATAAAAAAAAAAGGACAACATCAACATATCGCCCGGGACAATAGATCCAAAGTCACAACTTACCTCCAGAACGGCGGACCCCTCGCAGAGCACAAAGAAGCACCAAGCACGGCCGTCGGCATGCCAAGAGCCTCTCTCATAGCACTAAGATCATGCGAACCAAGACTTCCCAAGTTCCTCCACTGAGCAGCAGTATCAGCCGTAACCGGAATCCCCAATTCCGCCGTCAAAGCCTGCTCAAGGAACTCGTTTGTCCGTCTCGACAATTCCTTCACATCCTCTTCTCTATAATCCGAGAAAACCTTGGGAAACGTCCCAGACTGACCAACAAAATCCGAATTCGGGCCGACGATATCTCGCACGCGCGCATAGCACACTTGATCAAAGCTTCCTATTTCCTTGACGGCGTCGATGAACCCACTCGCATATCGCCGCATATATCCCACCATGACCTTTCCGGAAGATTGCTTCTCTAACTCAATGAGCTGGTCCGCATCTTGCAGGGACAGAGCCATGGGTTTCTCGATGAAGACGACTTTGTCGTGTCTCAGGCCCAGGACGGCGTGCGGAACGTGGAAGGCGTCGCTGTTGGCTATCATCACGATGTCTACGTCCGGCGAGGCGCAGAGATCCTCTGCCTTGCGGGTGGTCTTCGGAGTCCCTCCGATGACCTTCTTGGCACAGTGCTCGACTGCATTGTCGGAGACATCACACAGGTAGGTGACTTGGAAGTAGTCCGAGAGGTACCCGAAAGTCGGGATGTGGGCAACTTGGGTGATTTCGCCACAGCTGGGGGGAACGTTAATATCTATGTATAGCTCTTGGATAACGGAATTCTTACCCAATTATTCCCACGCGAAGAATTCTGTTGCTGGTGCTCATCTTGAATGTGGGAGGTGATTCTCTAGCTTCTCCAATGACGTAATGGTTAGAGAACCTTGAGGTTCCAGGTTGAAAGCTGATTCTGATAAAGTCTCGTTCGAAACAATCTCCACAGTCCGTAAATTTACTGGGTCGTCGGATATTCTGAAGGAAGATGCTGGGTAGATTGGATTGAAAGAGCGCTGATCTGATGCCCCGCGAGGTGGAACAGCTCTGGAGCCCCGCAGGACTTCGGTCTCGGACGCTTGCACTGGCACGTTGACTGAATACAAATACCATGAACATGAAGATTTTATAGATAAAGACACACAGGAAGGAGAATATTGAATTGACTACAATATTATCAAAGATTGGAGACTTGATCTCCTGCTACTCGCACTGTCGTAGATACACGTCCTTCTTCCGCCTATAATTCGCCGCAAAACTCCGAAATCAAAGCAAATCAGTAGAAAGCCAAGTGAAAACCCTAATCTGCCGGAGTCAAATGAAAAAGCCAAGCCGTTAAGCTCTTCTAGATACTCATCCGAACAGAAAAGAGACTGTTGCAGGTGAACACCAAGGAAAGGAGCAAAAGATGCCTTCACACATGCTTCGATTAGATCTGCCTACCTTAGTATGACTCGCCGCCTGCACCAGTGTGAGGCTGACCAACCATGGAGGAATAGCTGTAGGCGGAGGCGTCTTGCCCGGACTGGTCAAGGTTGGCGTTCAGCAGATGGTTCGCGCCTTCGGCATTGGAGAATCCTATGGGACGAGCTGGACCAGGTTCACCAGGGCCACCGACGGGTCCCCCAGCTCCATAGTCAGCGCTTGGGGGCCTCTGGTTATCGCCGCGGGCAGATTGAGTCTGAGATGAAGTTAGTCTTTCAGAACCAACAACTGCTCGAGGCTCGGTTCTAGAAAAGGGTCCTAGAGTTGGTCCTGGGATTTCGGGGGCCTCTACCTCGCGGTACTTGGACAAATAGATCTTGAGGGCTTCAGCGTAGTTCTCAAATCCAAGCGATGTCATAGCAAATAGGATGTCTTCGCCGTTGACTGTCTTGCGCTTCTCCTGTTGGCATTTCTCCGAGGCTGCGAAGATAGCCGATTAGCATGTCTCGTGACTTGGATCAAACAAGAACCAGACTCACCTTCACTTGTGATGAATGAAATGAACTCGCTCACACATTCCTGCATGCACTCCTTGGCTTCTTTTGCGATCTTGGCGTTCTCGGGCAGGGCCAATTTCATAATACGAGCCACTGAGTAAGATCGATGATATTAACATGTTGTGGAGACATCGGGTGTTTAGGGTGATATCATCAAAATCAAGGTCCGTCCATTGAGAAAGGTTGTTTACATCAACCGTCCGATAAAAGCATCTGGAAAAGTGATCCTCGCATAAATGGACCCGAGACGAAAAGAACCGGGGGAGAACCAAAAAAAAATGCAGGGGAAAGTTGGTCAGGGCAAAGGCAAAGGACGTGAATCGGAACCAAATATCAAGACGCCACCTACCATTTGCAATCGGAAGCCATCTATCCTGCTCCTTCACCTCGAACTCGCTCGGGTGTCCCTGCACGTCGTGATGGTCCTTGTCCATGTGATCTTGATCTTCTCCCGAATGCGCCTCAGGGTCAAGTTCAGCGTCCCTTAAAAGAGAGGTCGACATGATTATAAGTGGTGTAGATAGTTGCGGTGGATCCTCGGCTTGGGCGTCAATACCGATGTTTCGCGTGCTCTGTTGTCAGACCACGTCAGATCACAATGCCGGGCGATCTGTTCCAAGCAGCGCAGAATCGACGGTTCCAAAAGTCCACAGGATTGTATTGGCTGGGTACAAGCCACTTCGCAGTAGCGTTAAAGATAGCGTCAGCCCAGGGGGCGGGTTAACAATAACGCAAGATGCTGGCTCTATGCACTCAATAGCACCAATTAGCCTCGTGTTTCGGGAATGGCATGGAGCACTTCTAGGGACAGAAATTCGACTGCAGTCTAGTTACGCGACCACTCACCCGCTGTATAGAGTACCGACACTAAATATGCGCCTCAAGTAGTCGGGTTTTGGACTAGTGAAGCTGATGCGGGTATCGCGCCATGACCTCGGGAAGGGTTAGATTAGGGGAGAGCCCATCTTTCCAAATCGCAAGTCGCGTAAGGAAGAGAGCTTTAGGGATATTTAGTGCGCTTATTCTGGTTCGTCTCTGATTAGAGCTAAAGTTAAGGTGTTGTGCGTGGATCTGGGGAGGTCAATTGGCGAACCAGAGGTCCTGGCAGATCTGTGGTCATTTTGGTCACTTCACGCCGGTGGACTTGGATCAGCCTTTCAAGACAAAGCACAAATAAAACACCGATGTCTTGAAGATAAACTGACGGAGACAAAGAAAGAGAACTAATAAAATCACGTACTATTCAAATACATGGCCTATCGGCGGATTGATATACTGGTGTGCAACTTGTCTTACTATCCTCACCGATCTACCACTAGAAGCTGGGATCATACATGTATCTAGATCCTCATTGCCTCCTTTGCTATTGCATTAAGTTAGGTTCTTTAGGGCCCAACATAATAGATTGCCTTGATTATTTGCTGTTTAGTCAGGCATCAAGGCTTGCATCCTGAAGTATCCCAAGCACCTACATCGATGTACTTAAGCACATCCAATTTTGTACACGTCTTAAAGGCTTGACTAGATGGTTCCAGTTAGGCATCAACTATGCCGTTTCTTCAAGTTTACTTGGGCTGATATCTGCAAACTCCAGACTCAGCCATCTCATGGCATGACTGAGGTCCGAGAGCCCCAGCTGAAACACTCATGAATCAAACATGATGGGTATTTGTTTTTTTTTACTAAAACAAGGAGCTAATCTTGCAAGGTTGACATCAAAGCACAAATCAACGCTGCATTATGTCTAGTTTTTTGTTGTTCCCAGTAACGCCGGTAGCCTATTGCTCTTGCACTTAGATAGCACCACCCGGGAACACGTAAATCGAAAGTATACAGATAAAAGAAATACCATTAAGGCTGCACAACCTGAATGTTGTTCTTCTTCTGCAAGGTGGATAGTAAGGTCAGCACTACTCGTGTAAAGTTCTCCGGAAATGGTTTGAGGCTGAGGAATAGCCACAAAACAGGATATGCGCTTACCTTCCAGTTATCCAGCTCACCCTGCTTTGACTTGTACTGCTTGAGCATGTCCTCCAAAACTTGCTTCAACCCATCCGAGTTGGTCTTCAGTGTAGGAAGCACATCTTTGACAGTGCGCTCAACCAAAACGCCATTCACCACGCGGAAACATTTGCGGTCTGCGGGGAGAGGGTCGAGGGTTTCAATCACAAGTCTTAGAAGGTTAGCTTTATGCATATTCGTTGAGATATCGCTTGGTTTGGTCCGCTCGTGGTGTAGCCCCCGATCCAACCCTAGCATTATCCTACTCTGCTGGAACAGCGCATAACCAGGATAGTGACTCACTTGTGTTCTTCTGCCTCTTGCTCAATATCACCAATCTTTTGGGCTAATTGCTGAAGGGTATTCTTGAAGTTGGTGTATTGGTGCTGAAGCTCTGGATTGAGGGGCTTGCGTCAACTTTTGTAAATTCTCAGGGTTTCGCAGGGACAAGAGAGGAAAAGCATACCCTGCTGCTTCTTGGGGTCAATCTGTTTCTGGCTAGACATGATGGCTGTTTGACAGGGTGTGGTCGGCACGTGGAAGCTCGAGAAATTAAGATGACGATGCGGGGCGGTTGCTTTGGTGTTGGCAGAGGCCATTATGTACAGTAGAAGTTCTGATGCGCCTTACACCCATGCACAACCTACTTTAGCTCTGAATCTCACACTGATCTACTCAACTTTCAGATTAGCCTCATACATCAGTGGAATCATTTTTGATTTAACTCTAGAATACCATATGCGTGCTCTTCATGAAGCAGGTTAGAGACCACGTGACTGAAATTGCAATTTGCACTGTTTGGTTGCGATGGTGAGAAGACGATCATTTCGCTCTACAAATTTTAGATGTTTTTCTAAAATGAAATTGAAATGGCTACTTGATGCTGCCTTGGTCGGACTGCTAAAAATCTATCTCTTTAAAATGTAGAAGCCATGTCCTGCTGATGTCATTGTCTGTTTGAAAGACTGGAAACTGGACTCCCAGGGCGGTGGCGAGCTTCTGGCAATAAATGGCGGTGAGGGGCTAGCGCTAGCCACAGTCAGTAGGAAAGAGGTTCAACTCCGCGGAATCACTTTATCATACACCCAACCCCGCGCAGACCAGACAGACTCATACATTGCAAATTACTCCAGTCTTAAACCTGGCTCACAAGCCTGGCTGAGCAACATGTCTCGCAACGATATGGGTCCTCCGGCCAAAAGGCACAAGGGCTTCGGACACCTCCCTCCAGGCCTACGCGACGCAAAACGAAAGGACATTGACAACTGGGAAACCAATCGAATGCTCACCTCTGGCGTGGCGCAACGACGAGATCATGAGGGCGACTTCATGCTGGAAGACGAAGAAGCGACTCGAGTTCATTTGCTCGTCCACGACCTCAAGCCGCCTTTTCTCGATGGTCGCACGATCTTCACGAAGCAGTTGGAGCCGATCTCTGCTGTTCGTGATCCGCAAAGTGACATGGCGGTATTTAGTCGGAAGGGAAGCAGAGTCGTTAATGAGCGCCGACAGCAGCGCGAACGACAAAAGCAAGCACAGGAGGCGACAAATATCGCTGGCACAGCCCTGGGCAACTTCATGGGAATCAAAGAAGACGAGGGAGACAGCGCGGTCGCTGAGCCTATCGAGGAAACCTACAGAGGAGGAAATAAATTTGCCAAGCATATGAAGAAAGGCGGTGGTGGCGCCAGCGCTTTCAGCAGTAGCAAGACCATGCGCGAACAGAGAGAGTATCTGCCCGCCTTTGCTGTGCGTGAAGATCTCATGAGGGTCATTCGGGACAACCAAGTTGTGGTGGTCGTTGGAGAGACTGGATCTGGAAAAACCACCCAGCTAACCCAATTCCTACACGAGGATGGCTACTCCAAGTTCGGTATGATCGGATGCACGCAACCTCGCCGTGTGGCTGCAATGAGTGTCGCAAAGCGTGTCAGTGAGGAGATGGATGTTGATCTCGGTGCACTCGTCGGATATGCTATTCGTTTCGAGGATTGTACGAGTGATGAGACGGTGATCAAATGTGAGTTTCCACCTTTCCGCTTTGATGTAATCGTGTAGCTAATCAATCTCCTAGACATGACGGACGGCGTTTTGTTGCGAGAATCTCTAAACCAAAAGGATCTAGACAAATACTCCTGCATCATTATGGATGAGGCACACGAAAGAGCTTTGAACACCGACGTCTTGATGGGTCTTCTCAAGAAAGTTCTGGCCCGACGCAGGGATCTGAAACTGATCGTGACCTCAGCAACGATGAACTCTGAACGATTTTCGCGCTTCTTTGGCGGCGCCGCAGAATTCATCATTCCTGGTAGAACCTTCCCTGTTGATCTTCACTTTTCGCGCACACCCTGTGAAGATTATGTGGATAGTGCTGTCAAGCAGGTCTTGGCCATTCATGTATCCCAGGGCGCTGGCGATATTCTTGTCTTCATGACTGGACAGGAAGACATCGAGGCAACCTGCGAGCTGGTCGAAGAAAGACTGAAGCAGCTGAATGATCCTCCGAAACTCAGCGTCTTACCCATCTACAGTCAACTGCCAGCCGAGCAACAGGCAAAGATCTTCGAGAAGGCGGCTCCGGGCGTGCGCAAAGTAATCGTGGCTACGAACATTGCTGAGACAAGTTTGACGGTCGACGGCATTATGTTTGTCGTGGATGCAGGTTACTCAAAGCTGAAGGTGTACAATCCGCGCATGGGTATGGATGGTCTCCAGGTCACCCCGATTTCCCAAGCCAATGCAAACCAGCGATCTGGGCGTGCCGGACGGACTGGGCCGGGCAAGGCCTATCGTCTATACACGGAGACGGCCTACAAAAACGAGCTTTACATTCAAACGATCCCTGAGATTCAGCGAACCAGTCTTTCTAACACCATCCTTTTACTGAAATCCCTTGGCGTGAAGGACCTTATGGACTTTGACTTCATGGACCCTCCCCCACAAGAGACAATCTCCACCTCTCTTTTCGAGCTCTGGGCGCTGGGTGCTCTGGACAACCTGGGCGATCTTACATCTCTAGGACGTCGCATGACTCCATTCCCAATGGATCCTCCTCTTGCCAAGCTCATCATCATGGCATCCGATAAGTACGAATGCAGCGAGGAGATGTTAAGCATCGTCGCAATGCTTTCGGTCCCGAATGTATTTTATCGTCCCAAAGAACGAGAAGAGGAAGCCGATTCAGCCCGCGAGAAATTCTTCGTTCCGGAATCCGACCACTTGACCCTTCTCCATGTTTATACTCAATGGAAAACCAACGGCCACTCGGATGCCTGGTGCACCAAACACTTTCTGAACTCCAAATCCCTCCGCCGCGCGAAGGAAGTCCGAGATCAACTTCTCGACATCATGGTCAAACAAAAAATGCCCCTCATCAGCTGCGGTACAGACTGGGACACCATCCGCAAGTGCATCTGTTCGGGCTTCTTCCATCAAGCCGCACGAGTAAAGGGCATTGGCGAGTTCATCAACCTCCGTACAAGTGTGACTATGGCGCTCCATCCCACAAGTGCCCTTTACGGTATTGGCCACGTGCCTGAGTACGTCGTCTACCACGAGTTGCTCCTGACATCCAAGGAATATATGTCCACGGTGACATCTGTTGACCCTCATGTAAGTTGCCACCCTCCTCATGTTCGCCTAAATGTTATCTTGTACTCAACTAACTCATATCTCCCAGTGGCTCGCCGAACTTGGCGGTGTATTCTACTCCGTCAAAGAGAAAGGCTACTCGCAGCGCGACCGCCGCGTGACAGAAATTGAATTCAACAAACGCATGGAAATCGAAGAGCAGATGGCAGCTGACCGTGAACGCGCTGCTGCTGAGAAACTGCGCGAGCAGGAACGCAATGACCCCGCACGTCGCAGAACGGAAATCGAGGTTGGCGGGAAGTCCACCGTGCGTAAACCTATCATCAAGCCAGGACGCAAGATCGGTGGTTTGACTGCTTCGTCTTCTTCTTCTTCTTCTTCTTCTTCCTCGCGGCATGGAGCCCATGTCGATGGAGCTCACGATGGTGGAAGTCGTCCTGGAAGCAGTGTGGTCAAGAGGCCTACGGTTCCTCGCAGACCAGGACGTGCATTCTAGTTTTGGGGTGAAAACAACTCCACTGAGGGCTTGAAGGTCCTGTTTGTACAACATCATTTCGTCTTTTAAATCCATCCACATGGATCTTGTTCAATCGATACCCGCCATTGCGTTTTGATTCAGCTCATTTCCGAGTAGTCTGCTTTACACCCAGGCTATCTCCGAGATACGGCCCCTATGAATGAGATATATGCTTTTCCAACAAGCTAATCTTGTTTAAGTAGATATGTCAAATATGAACATTTTTTTTCTCAATCAAAGACGAAGCGTACAGGGCTAGAACAAGGATCTGCTTAAAAAGTCCCAACGTGTAAGGACATCCAAGAGGCAACATTCCCCATCCCACTCAGAGATCGAAACGGACCAACCCCATACAACAAACAGAACGAGCCAGCATTGTATTGAACGGAGGCTTTGAGCGTTAAGCACAGCTCAGTTGATAAAGTTGACGCAGAAAAAGTGTAGGATCAAGCTTCCAAAGATGTAATCGGCGAAGGCCCTGAATTAGAAATCAGTACATGTCTTAGGGGAACAATCGTAACGTTGAATTTCTCCACAAAAAAGACAACAAACGAAACTCACCTCTCATGCGAAGTACCCGTCCCTTGCTCTTCGCTCTTCTCTGCAAAGTGCGCATTCTTTCCCTTGGAGCTCGGCTTCGATCCAGAACCAGTACCGTTATCGCTAGTTTGCATGCGCAGACTTGCCGTAAGGACAAATTGACCAACAGCCGCACTGAATCCACTGAGGAAAGCATTAAAAGGCTAAACAGGAGGGAGGAGATGTTAGTTATTGGTCTATAAAATTCCAATGGCGAGCCACGCATCGTGTAGACAAGATAAAGAAAAGAAAAGGGAAAGGAAAGCAAAATGACCAAGACAGCATATGCAAGTCAGAGCTTCTCAACTTACATAGTTTCCAGCTAAAACACAGTACATGAACTGCAGTCCACCAACAAGTACTAAGAATGCCATGAAGGCATCTAAGAGAAGTGTCCGCTGCGGCGTTGTGGATGCATACTGCTTCCAGACATGGCCAGCAATTTCAGCAGCTGAGGCATTGGCCTTGAGGGTATTTGGGCCTGAGGAGAGTTTAGGTGTTGTGAGCGCAGGCGCGGGCGTGGGCGTGGGCGTGGAGGATGCCGCGGAGGTAGTTGAGGCCGCGTGGCGCTTGGGAGCCATGATTTGGGATTTGGGGGATCGATGATGTTCGGATGTGTGTAATTGGCGATAGATGGATTATAGAGAACGCAGATGGAGATTACACTGGAAATCGGTGTAAGGACGGTGGGTTGGATGGCAATGGCGGAGTGGAAACTGCTGGCTGATGCCAGCTTGGAGCTTGTTACTACTGTAGTCACGTGGCGGAGTAGGTCCCGATTTGGAAGTATATAATCAAGTGATAACGGACATTTTAGTCAGTTCACAGTTTAATGGTAGAATCATTGACTGATGCATTTATATGGTGCTTTTAATCTGTGTGTTTGATTTCCGGTATACAGCGTTACCACGGCACAACGTCGCTGATAGAATGCATAAGAGGGAAGAGGGGTATCTTAACAAGTGATGGAGAGGGGATATCATCCAGTAACCAACGCTATAAGTCATCACATTATTAATAGACACAGCCTTAGACGAGAATGGAACCGTCAAGAGGTTAGGTAAACCACTCGGGAACATTGGTTCCATTGCTTTGCTGAGAATCGTCATTTTCAACATCCATCTGGAAATCACGCATGACTTGATCCCATTCCTCCCAACTGAGCTGAGCAGACTCAGGAAGCGGAATCTGATTCAAAAATGAGTTGCTCATGTCTGTGTTGTAGGGCATACCTGTGGAAAAGCTCGGTGCTGAGATATTATTCTGGGCCGGCGGGGCATCGAAAATATTGTTTGATGCAGCTAGAATATTTGTGCCAGGAAACAAATTTTGGAGAGCACCCAATGGTCCATTGCTCAGGTCGATATTGTAGTCTACCTCGGATGCAGTCGGTGCCGTTGAGCTTGGTCGAGTTGTCGACGGAGAATTCAGCATACCCGTTGGCACATGAATCCGGGGAAGTGTATTAGGACAGATTCTTTGAACGGGCTCTATTGTTTGGAGGAATGGTCCAAATTTGAATATCAATTCTTGCTGTTGCTTGTCCCGGGTAGCAGCAGCTCTTTTCATCAAGGCGGCAAGTGGACGCCAAAGCATGCCCTTTTTATGAGTGGCCTGCGCGGCCCATTCCGTGTAGATCAGACTGACAGCGCTCCAAGCTCGATCGGTAACAGGGCAGATTGGTCGGACGCATATCTCAGACAGAACGAATGCGACCCCATGCCATTGCATATTAGTCCGGAACAGCCAGCCCCATTTGGCGGTTTTGGTGTCAGTCTCAAGCAAGTGGCCAAATTCGAGGACCTCAATTGCAGTCAGAAACAAGCTCTCTCTGGTTTCTTGCGACACATTTCCGCGGTCTCTTTGGGTCATCGGGTGATGGACTATCAACCATAATTTGGCAAGAATCAGACGCCCAACTGTGGCGGAGCACCACTGCACGGGGATGTTCATATCACAGTGCCTGATATACCGTTGTTCGCATCGATCACTGATGATTTGAATCATCCGTCCAGCACGATCTATGTGCGGTAAACTGTTAGGCGCACGAAATCGGGCGCTGGGACAAGCGTAATTTGCTCTCCGCAAAGCGCTCGTGATCTCACAGCGAATTAGACAGAATGTTGCATCTGTGCAGCCTTCTTGTTCTTTAGGGGGCTCTTCCATGTCGGGCGACAGGTCGTCGTCATTGATGTTTAATGGCAGTAGAGTATCGTACATGCTCTCGTGAATGAGTGGGTCCGTCCCATGGTCTTCGGATGAGCGGACATCCAACAGCGAGATATGCCACCATAAACGACGCCGCATCTCCGTTTCGAACGGTTTCAGGGCGAAATTGGTGCCATCCCGGTGTAGGCCTAAGCCCTGAGCAAGGCGTAAAACGACGGATGTCATGGACCATACAAACTTGCTATCATCTTCTCGCCGCACGCAGACCAAGAATAAGACAGCGGCTTGCAGGAGGATCAAGCTTTGTGTATTCAAAAACCCAGCTTTTGCCAGCGCTTGCTCCGTAGCAAACCTGTACCGCTTGACAACAGTAGTTCGGTCTTCACCGAATTGGAACAAGCACTCGTCAGGTTTCATGCTGACAATGCTGCAAAGATACATGGAAAATATCAGTGCCTCTGAATTTTTGTCCAGGGCATCTGGATGCCTTGCTGCCTCTACAAAAAGTTCTCTGGCAGTCGGTCGGTGTACGATGGTGATCAAAGGAGCTACATTTTCCCGATATTTTCCCCACAGTATTGGGACCTTGGACGTGGGGGGATGAAACTCTCGAAGAGATTTGGAAAGCGAATAGAATCCAAAGATGAACCCGTCCTGTGAACCCGAGTGAGATGATTCTGGTGAGGGTGTGTCATCTTCGCCTGACGAAGAGTGATCAAGGATATCTTGCAGTTCCTCGATCTGAAGCATGTTAGTATAAAGTAGGCTGGGTAGCAAAGGAGAATGGGCGACATCTACCTCGTCTCCTAGACTAGTCCAGAGCCGATTGCTGACATATCGGCTCCGACCTTCATCAATGACCAACCTCCCAAATTCATTTTCAAACTTTTTGGGAGCAAGTTTCTTCGGGTCCGATTCTTCGAACGGACAGACACGTCCACCGTCAACCTGGTTCTGTGGCCCGGCCGAAACAGACGTTGGCACTGTCGGTTTGCTCCGACCGGTCGAAGATCCAGACGCATATAACGGCGCCTGAACCGAGGTTGATGTACCTTCGGTATGACCACTGCTCCTAAGATGATCTATAACACCTTCCAAACGACGTAGCCGCGAAAGCAACTCTGCGTCCGGTGGACGTTTCGATTTCCGCGGTGCACGCCCAGGAGGGGGAAATATACAGTCTATGCCGGCTTTGGTGCAATTCGAACACGGAGACCTCTTGTTGCATCGAACTTTCCTGCGACGGCAGGTCACACAGCTGCGCGAGGTCGAGCTCGGGGGTTCCGCAGCCGCGTGGCGGGGAAAAGTGGCGGTCAGGTTCGTAGGTAGTGGAGTATTTGAAGAATTATTGAGATTCAGCTCCTCTGGGGAAGCTGAATGGAACGACATATTGCTGGGGTAAGGAAATCGAGTCTTGCTTCCCACATCATTTGAAGCCTATAGATTAGTGGTTCTAGAAAGTTACTGGCAAGAAATTGCTGGCAGGACTACGAAAATTGTCATCGCATCTGCATCAAGTAATCGCCTGGGGCCGTGAAATACGGACATGTGACTGGTTGGAGTTCCTTTGTGCCATGACTCAGCACCATGTCTAGCCCCAGAGCCCCGGCCGAGGTGGGGACACCATCTCGTTTAGGCAAAGGGCCGTTATCTCCGTTTAACTCGGGAGGTCTGTGAAAAACTCGTGTTGTATGGAAGATATGAACCAATTAGTTAACCAACTCAACGTCTATAGTGTGCAACGATCCAAGACTTACTCTTAAGAGCTAGTTCGGATGAGTGTCTTTAGCCCATACTCTTCTTTGAATTGTCCGTCTCCCATCTCACCCGTTAGGTAGTATACAGAACACCAAAAATCAAGCAAGCCATCTCATAGTGATGCTTATCCTTGAATGTTAGCACTTCAGTATACCTACTCTGCCGCTTGTCCCCATCTCTTGTGGACAGCAGTGATAATTAAAAAAAAAGCCAGACAACACATCTATCCAACGGGCATAAATCTTGTTCAAAATGTCTGTCTCCGATTTAAAGTTATATTTGGGATTAGCCTCGAGCATATACTTAAGGCCGCTATTGATGCCAGGAAGATCGAAATAATGCTGGGTGATGTTGCAGCAATCTGGGATCTGGGACGTAGCCTCCGATATCTGCACGTCTGAATCGTTGTCTTATGGAGAGATCTATACAACTGATTTGGTGATTTTTTTTCCACCTTGGAATTCGTAGCCCACCATCTTAGTATCTTATTTCCACCACCAGGGCAAGAGACTCCCTAACATTGTCTTCTTGTTCCACCTCTATGAGCATGTTTCGGCACTACAGACTATTAAAATAGACGGCCTTCCTTCTAGCGAGGTCACAATCAAGACACGGGGGTACGACTCATCGAAGTAAATCCATTGACTGGCCCTTTCTTCTTTTTTTTTGCGAGAAATGACAGATCTTTTGGTAAGAGGATCTGCCACCCAGGTGAATGAGTTCACTCATGTGGAAATATATCTTCCCACTTAGTATTTCAAACGGAACATATGTATAATTGTCTCATTTTATGTCCAAGGGTAGGTATGAATTCTAAATCATAATAACATAAGAGGGCCTGAAACCTAGGCTAAAACTCGAATAAGGTATTTAGACAGAGAAGACCACCCACATCAAAGGGTTATGGGTTGTACTGAGGCGTTGAAAGGGATCTATAGTACCAAAACCCAATAACAACTACAAGTTATCCAAAAAAGGTCAAAAAAGATATGAACCCAACCCGATTTGAACGGATGACCTTGAGGTCTGGAATCTCACGCGCTACCGCTGCGCCATAGGTCCTACTCGATATATTAAGAAGAAATGTGTCAAAATATAAGCAATGTGAATCAAAAAGATAAGGGTGATCCCTTCCATAGGATCTACGCAACGTAGACCACAAGCGAGCTGGCCACCCAAACACATGGTGAATGCGATAAATTACAACCTAACATCTCAACACTGGTTTATAATAGCTAAGTGCTTTTGAGCTTAGAATTACTATTTATTCTTTGCGATATTATACTCCTGTTAAGCAACGTAATTTTCAATACCATGGTAACATAGCCCTTGAGTTGGTGCGTACCAAAAGCCCCATCAAAAGCTATCAAATGACATTGAAACAAATTAGAAATGATGTGAACTACTTCCTTGCCTGTTATTCCAGGTGTCGCCTTCTTGATTAACTTAACTAGGTATACGTGAACAAAAAGCCAGCTTCTTCCCGAAAAAGTTGTATTTTCTGCCTAAACCAGTCCCTGAATTGTGCTTGGTAGAGTTCTTGGCACAGAAAGTGGGATATAGCCAAAGTGACTTGGATTTATTCTCGGTTTATGCTAATGTATAAACTATTCCGTACCTGTAATGCGTTTCACAAGCGACTCGGCCATCGTTAAAACACTCGGTAAATGCGGTATGTTCTACATTTACACCTCAATCACCATGCTTTTACTTTTCATTCCTAATTTTTCGATGGTCATCGACAACACTGACTAGTACCATATGGCCAAATATAGTAGAATCGAAGGCCTTGTAGTCATCCTTTCGAAAATTACCAAAAGTGACTGAAAATAACGGTGCCAAAACTAAAGACATACATATCGGAATCATTAAGCTATTAGACTTTCTTTTAGAACCCCGGAAGAGACTTTACATCACTTGGAAAGTAGGAGGCTACAAGGAGAAGATCCTGTCGACTATTGTTGAGATATCAAGTTGTAATTTATCTCATTCGCCATGTGTTTTGGGGTGGCCCGCTTGTGTGGTCGGCTTGGATGTTAAATATGTCACCTTGTTACATCCAGGGCTGTTGTCTTGCTAAGAAGGTTTGTACTAAGATTTCAGGCAGGGGAAGGTGTGTCAACAGGACACATGAAAAAAAATGAACCCAACCCGATTTGAACGGATGACCTTGAGGTCTGGAATCTCACGCGCTACCGCTGCGCCATAGGTCCGATTTGATGCTAATTTCAGTTCCAAAATTGATAAAATAACATTGCAAGCCACACAGAACCTCTTTCTGACCAATCTTGCATCATTCCAAAGGATGCATTGCCGTTGAGACATGAAGTTGTGCTATACACTCGTCCATTGGAACTGGACAACCGAGAAATTGCAGTCCTAACAGGGTAACCCACTGCTATCGGATGCTCTTTGGCTATCACAGAGGTGTTTATGTGAGAACTGGCCAATGAGTGTTCATTGGGGATCCTACATAGAAGTTCAGACGGCGCCTGGTCAACTTTTGGGTTAAACCAGGGACGTAAATTTCGACTACCTAATTACCTAAAGAAATTGCCCATTGAATCCAATTTTAAGAAGCCTCTGGCAAGTGAGAGGTACTCCAACTACCGCGAATCAATGAAGTGAGCGCGTGGGCGTTGGACCTTTCGAATTAAAGAAAGACCCGTGGACGGAGCAGAAATCTTAATACGTGAGTTACGTTTGTGGCAGAGAAATCTAATAGCTGTAGATCGCCAGAGAATGTCAAGGGAAAAAAAGGACGTCAATTTTGTTAGAAATGAAATTGGAAATTCTCATGTTTCTTACGACCTCCCGGCTTGGAATTGATTTTCATTCTCTCTTTCATTCTCTCTTTCATTTTCTCTTTCATTTTCTCATTTCTTTTGGAATTCCATTTTCCTCCGTTTTGAAAGTCTATACAAGGCGATGATTCCCAATCGAAAAACGATCTAAAACGGAGTTTCCATGGATTGAATCAGTGGAGTCTGCACACATGGCAAAGAGCTCGTCTAAAGTCGCACCGGCAATCGTGGCAGAGTCTGTCAGCGTCTCCTAACCCCAGCTTGGCTGCTGCCAATGCAAAATGGCGCGCAGAGAATGATCGGGTTTGCGTGTCCTCTCTTATAGTATCATTTCGGTATGACCGCTACTCGACCCGCACACTTTCATGGCTTGGTAGAGTTGATATAAGGTTGAAAAATGGATCGCCCTCGGCTAAGAAATCACCTTCACCAGCTACTTCGGCTAAGCTTCGGCTAAACTTGCATGGTAAATCAAGGCCATCCGCGTCAAGAGTCTTGAAGTAACTTGGTCCGAGCGAAACTCCACTCGCATCCCTATGTTGCAGACTCGACTAATGAACAGCGAATAAGGCTCACCTCGGGACGCAATCTGCAAAGCTTGAAGTTGACAAATCATGTAAAACTGCGCAAGAAGTTAAGCCTTTTTAAATCGTGCACTGGTCGCTTCCCGAAGTAATCCCGAGCCCGAGCCTCAACTTTGATCGGCGGATCTTCCTGCTTGCACCCATAGCAGGGAGTTATTGAAAACAGTATCATCCCTCGTCGAAAAATAGCTCTTTTCGAGTTCTCCAATCTCTAGTCTCGATTCCCCGTGTTGAATATGTAATGTATGGATGGGGGGGGGGAGGGGGGGAGGGGTGTTTTTCCAGCCCTACCCACTGTGCGACCGGTAAGACTTGAACCGTTTCTTTCTACGACGTCGGAAAAATGAGGATTCTGCTTGTGGTAGCTTGGGAGCTTAACTTAAAATAATGGGGGCATGCCTAGGGCTTACCGTTTAGGTGGAATTGTCCCCTCAAGAATCATTTGGACTGGCCTCGAAAGTCGTGGCAGCGTACTGTTTTCCATGTTGGAAGGGCAAAATGAAATATCCACGTTTACAGAACTTAAGAATGTGGTACCCGTGTCTCACTACCGAGGAAATAAACAAGTTGATTGATCACAAAAGCAGAGCCCAAAGATGCTCGGAGAGAAGTCCGTATTTTCCGTCAGAAACCTCACGCGCTAAAAGGCTTGTCGTGACGCAGAGTGGATACGACAGACAAATTACCCCGATCCAGTTCGTAGCTGGTCAATAACAAGCAGAGGAAACGCAAAAGTCTCCTCGATAGACCAGTATTAATACATCTATACAATCAACTGACTGGCTGGAAATCGCATTCCACAAAGTTTGTTGTACGGCTTCAAGTCTACATCCAACTCTACAAAATTACATAGAATACATCATAGGAAAAGACATCTCTTTTGCTCGAGCGTTCTGTAGGGCCCGCTTGTTTGGCATACCGAGAAAATCATGCCTAGAGTGAGACTAGCTGAGTCTATCACATGGTTTATGGGAACTGTCTTCTATAACACTGCTCATCCACATTATTTATAGCGTCGAGTGGGCTCATTGTGGAGTGAACAAAAATTGAGACATACAGAGATAGCTCAAGGGCTATTTTCTACTCCTTGGTGAGGACGATCTATATATGCTGATGCGAATATGACACTCTGTTCAGTACGGAGTAGATATACCACGCTGTGTCACTCCACCGCGCCCGGCGGGTGTTCAGGATACTAATACTCCACTCCGTATGTGTAATGAAAAACATTCCCACCCAAGCTGTGTTGTAGATTTAAATCCCCAAAGTTTGAATTCCCATTCAATTCCCTCATCTCCGAAATTAGGAAGCCATAGCGAGAATAACAGGCACGGTTTTAACCGTCGGGCACTTTCAATAGGCCAATTATGGTCTGCCAGTACCAATGGCTTTTCAGTGGAGATGTGGTGGCATAATGATTCGCCATGTTTAGCTTTAGGCTTTCAACCTTCATCACCGTTTCATTTAGAATTCGGCGGGCTGGTGCTGTTTTCTCCCCGAACCGTGAAGGAGTTATGGTAGATCACTTTAACATTACCCCTAACGAAGTTAATCCATACCCTATATTGTGCATACAGAAGTACTTGTTTGTATCGGATTTTAGATTTTCCTGACCGAGTTGTCGTTCTTTTAGGGTAGGGGAAGGGCTTCTCTTGACAGATGAAGTTGATCTACATGTTGTAGCATGACTTGGACCCCTAGTTTTGGCGGTCATTAAGGCGGGTTTTCTTCATTTTGATCGAGCTGTGTGTAAAAGATCTGCTCGCTTGTGTTTGTTCAATTGAAGAAAAACCGCGCTAAGGCGCTGAGCGATTGAGTTACCAGGATAGGAAATAATGATGCTTTAGCACCTCACATATCAGGCCACAATACATCAAAACCGGGGATAATATCCCCTACCTGGCGGAACAATCTGGACTGCAGCCACATTGAGGCCAGCCTTTAAGGAAACACGTGAACAACTTTCACGAGTGGTCGTATATAACACCCTAGATCCAGTTTAATCGGTTATCGAAAAGTGACAAGGGGGTACACTAAAACTGGAAAAGGCATCTCGGGCCGGAATCTGGTGCTTATGTGTAAGATTACTCCGTGAATGGACTTGAAAATACATTCGATGTATTTTATATTCTATCCGCGTGGAGAAACAACATCATCTCCACTTCTCCAAGGCTTCTAGCCTTCCCTGAACACTTTAGAATCTTTTTGCTTGGAAGCTTTGATCAATTCTCTAGCTTTCACATGATAAATTCCTGAACTTCTTATTCACATCCTTGTCTCTGACATCGAAATCGATCGGATACTTTTTTGTTGGTTCAATTTTCATGCCAGTTCCCCATTGCACGATTTTGACTAGATAAAATGCGTCGGTACACACAGTAACCATCGCTAATCAGACGCACCATTGAGGCCATCCCGCAATTTAGGCTAAAAGACTAGCAAGCCATCATTCCCTGACAGTTTCTGGCGCGCGCGCGTGTGTGTGTGTGAATATGCCAGAGACTTCCCCTGCACCCCATGGAGAATCAAGCACCTTGCAAGGATCAGCCGCCCAGCAGTTAAATAGATCCTGCGAGTCTTGTCGAAGTCTCAAGGTCCGCTGCCTCCCCAGCCCATCCACGCCAAATCAATGCCAGCGATGCGCGAAGGGCAAGCGACCATGCGTTTTCGTGGCGCCGCAGAGACGGCGGCCCCGGAAACGGACAGATTCGCGCGTCGCTCAGCTCGAGAAGGAGATGCAGATGATGCGCTCACTGTTGAGAAATCACATCCCCGGAGAAGAACCAGGCTCTAGCGATGAAAGCGACAGGGACGATGTACAGGATCGTGATTCGGCCGATGCCGATTTTAAGACCAACATTGCCTTACGGGAGAACTCGGCTCATTCGTCCGAGGATGTCCGTTCTATGGGTTATTCCCCTGAACTACTGATCACCCCGCACCCCAGCATGCCTGATGGTGGTGGCTTTTCGGCACCGCCGACTTTTTCGGGTATGCCAGCTGGCTTTGTGCCGGAGCATGAGAGGATTCCTCCGGCGGACGACGTGATCGACCGGGGGATTCTGTCCCTCGAAGATGCGGAGCAGTTGGTGGCATATTTCATTCACGAACTCGCATTCTTCTTTCCATTGATTGTCCTGCCTTCGAACACCACGGCTGCCCAACTGAGACAAACAAAGCCAATCCTCTTTCTCTCCGTGATTGCTGCGACATCCATATGCATCGATGCAGGCCTGGCAGCTGTGCTGAACCGCGAGATGGTCCGCCTCTATTCAGAGCGGTTCTTCATTGAGGGCGAAAAATCACTAGAATTAGTGCAAGCGCTACTTCTTATGATCATATTTTATTTCCCGCCCATGTCGCCTTTGAAGCTGCAGTTTTATCAGTACACGCACATCGCTTCGACGATGGCGCTAGAAATTGGACTAGCAAATAAACGCCGTGTCTCGAAAAAGTCTGATCGCGAGAGCAGCAGACATGATGAGGTATTGGCTGAGCAGGCGAGAGCAGTCCTCGCCTGCTACCATCTCGGTTCGAGTGTCGCGATGAAAACCCGTCGCCCAAATCTGCTCCAGTTCAACGACTGGATGACCGAGTGTCTCGTTCAATTAAAAATCTCGCCGCATCGAACAGATCAACATGTGGCGACATGGTTCGAGCTCCAACGAATAACCGATGAGGCAATGTCCTCATTCGGTCTGGACGACACTAGTACCGCATCGCGCCTAACCGAGTCGCGGGTCCAAGCCGTACTACGCTGGTTCGACAAGCGGCTTGAAACGTGGAAGAATAATACCCCATCAGAGATGCTCACTGGTAGGAAACGCCAGTCTTCTTGCTTCGTGTCAGAAGCGTTCAAAAACCCACCTAATACTAATCAACTCCCGCAATCCAGTCCCCATAATCCTCGAATACCGTTACACAGCACTAGCGATGTACGAACTTGGCGTAGGAGAAGGCTATTGCGATCCGACCGCACTAAAGCGACGATATTTCACGCTGCCGACCCTTGATGAAGAAGACAACGTTGGCAGCGATACACAGGACGGCCCTCTCAGCGCAATCCGTATCGATATCAATATCAAATGGATGAACGCCGCGCATGAGCTATTGGACACCGTGCTGACCTGCAGCACGGAGACGATGCGTAAACTCCCAAATATCATGTACACCCGGTTCGGGATGGCCGTGACATCCCTGCTGAAAATTCACTTCTCTGTGCGAACCGGTGCTCTCGGGGAAGTCATCACGGTGCAGGCCGTGAACGCGGCCTTTTATCTCGAAGCCTTAGCCAACAAGCTAAGCGAGGCCAGTGCCGGGGGCAAGTACCATATCCCCAGTCGATGGTACCATATCGTGGGCGTAAAGTGTCGGGATTGGTATGAGCAGCTGGAGCAGCGGCAGAGTGAAAGGATAAAAGTCGGTTCTCGAATCGTATCCAGGATTCCGTCGACCGGTACTACAGAATCAATCTCAGGTCCAACATCGCACACCAGCCATGGTCAAAGCCAAAACCAAGGTCACGACCTACACTTGGATCAAGTCCCATCAACGATGGAATCCTTCCCTGTCGTCACTATGCCCCCAATGCCGGCGGCAGCAGATGGCATGGGCGACGGATACGTAGCGATGGGTGGTTCCGGGATGTGGGCCATGGATAGCGGGCATAACCCGCATTTCTACCCGACCAGCACGGCGGCGTACCAGCCTTCGGTGACGCATGTGCAGAGGTCGCATGACCAGGCGACGTTATCGCCTCAGTTCTCGTACGAGCCGCAGAGGATCCCGGTGAGTACTGCCGGGCAGCATTTGGCGAGGGCGGGCATGGATTTGGATGGGTGGCTTCCTGATGGAAGCATTTCTGGGGGGCAGCCTTTGCCTGAGTTTTGAGATAATAAGAACGCTAGGATGAAGGAGGGATGGATGCACATGTGTGTGAGAGTCTATGTAATATCATAGATCAGACATATGCACTATAGAACTGTACATGTCAGCTTGTCCATATTTTAAACCGATAACCTATCGTCACATCAGCAAGAATTATGGGATCCCCTTCAGTGCACGAGAACAAGGTCCAAAAAGACAGAGCCCAGCTTAATAATCCAATTCTGATAGATCTGGAAGGTAGCAGCCATGCCCATCAGTATCCAACAAAACAGTACACAGTCAAGTCACCAAGATGGAGAGAAACGAAACGAAAGAGATAATCTTCCAAATTTTCAACGGATGTCACATTGACCCATTTCGCCTGAAACACATGTACTCGCAAAGCGCAGTCGGAGGCTCGGGAGAATCGGAACTTCCGCGATGGGACCCGTCGGGGTTGATTGATTATCAAGGATATATTGAACATGGGTCTGATGTGGATTTCTTCCGGATCTTGGTTGTCCTTTTCTGCATTATGGAGTATGATTCTAATGTTGCATAAGCATGACTCTTTGATGGCATGGCCTGGTGTCTGGTACTCGGCATTTGGGCAGATTCCGAGCCGAGGCCCAACCCACATTTATTGTGGAAAGGGTGAGGACGGATTTGGTTGTGAATGCATCGTTGTTTGGTTTCGATGTTATATTTCTTTTGGCTATTTGTAGGTGTTCATATTTGAAGGCTTCACAACACACCCAGGATCTATGGAACATCCAAATCCATGGACAGGGATCTGTAGGAATGCACAAGAAAACCTTCATTTATGCATAGTTTATGCAAATAGTCGCAGGAAAAAAAAGGTTCGTCAATTGCATAGATAGAACGTGGATATCAAAAGCCAAACCAGGACCACCCACTTGGTCTATTCAACTACCCCGGAAAAATCAAAAAGATCACTGCACGAAGAAAAGAAAAAGGGTCTAAACAAATCACAGGATTGAAAACACCTCCAAGGCATCCAGAAACCCAGCAATAGCTCCGATACCCGCCAATCCCCTTGTAGCATTACGAGTCAACGACTTATGTCGATCCTTGGCATCTTCGCGCGAAAATCGGCGAGATGGCGAGGGCCGGAAGCTAGATTCGGGAGATGAAGAAGAAAGTGGGTATGCGGATGGATGGTGGCGCGGTTGGAGTTTGTTGTTAGCGATAATATTATATGCCTGATTTCGAGCCCAGCGAGTATCGGAGTGGACTTGGTTTGGCGATGGGCCTCTAGGAGAGGAATGGGTGTTGGGAATATTGATAGCTGGGCTTTGGGGCTGGTTCACGTTCATTGGGATGGATCCGGGGGCTATAGTGTAGTCTTGGTTTTCGTAGTATTTGTATGGCGGCTGGGGAGGTCCAGGTTGTGTTTGTGAAGGTAGTGGTGGAGGATGCAGAGCATGATTAAGGGGTGGGGAGCTACCGCTTGGGTATGTTGGGGATCTGCTGTTGAAATTATTGTGACTCGGAGGATAGGAAGAGACACTGTTGGAATGGAAATGGCGGCCTGGGATGGGGTAGGTGCTGTGGGAGGGTCGAAGAGGGTCGGATCTTTGCTCGTCTTCGTCACTTGAGTTGGTGACTCCCGAGTTGCTGTGAGGGCAATCTCGATGCTTGAATTCATCGGGCTCTAGTTCGCTTTCTACACGAGCCTGGTAGCTGGAGTACTTTTGGCGTAGCTCTGCTGCATGCCGTCGGGCCTCTTGTGAATGAGGGTGTCTCCAGTCTACTGTTGATCCTTCGAGGTAGTAACCTCGGACTCCGTGACTATCAAAGTCTAGCCCCTCCACATCATCTTCTTCAGTGTCTGAAAAGACGTAGACTCGAGGGTGGATCAACTTGTTGGATTTGTTGAAGCCTTTGCCGGCGTGATGAAGTTTTGAAGGATCAACCAAAGGCACCCAGAGTAAAAGCAGCCGGTTCAGTGTGCTCTCGGATAGCTGAACCATATCCTTTGAAGATCTTTCCACATCACTCAGTCCCACGTCACTGTCTCCAAAAGTAACGATAGGCAGTCGTGTCGGATCCGAGCGTCTGGTTGCGGCAGCCAGTGGTTTCCATGCCGATGTCAAGTTGGACGAGTAGTTAAACCTGATTCTCTGGTTTGTCGGGTCATTGGGGGCATCCAAATTCTCCTGTTCCACAAGATCCCACAAGCGATCGAGGCGTTTGATAGACCAATATCGAACGATAATCATGTTCTGAGATTCTGCTTTCTCCTGGGCAATCGTATCATCGGCGGTGGGTGTAAGGGACTCAACCTTAACTCCCTTGTCCACGCTGGATTTGACAACTTTTCCAAGCTGTAGGATTTGTAGCATCACAATCAGGCTGAGCTTGAGCGATTCCAACTGGGCGAGCAAATAAGTGACATGATGCTTCCGGAAACACCATTTAAGTCTCTCCTGAAGTGGGATCCTCATAAGATCATTGTCGTTGTCGGTTACCTTCAGCTTGTCCAGCATGTGTTCGATTTCAATCAAGATCAACTGGCCTTGTTCAGCAATCTCCCAGACCTTCTCTGTTGCCTCTGAGGACTGGTCCACATCTGTGCCCTCAATGGTCTGCCCAACCTGTTTGAGTGCGAGAGCATAAAGCGAGATTCCCTTGGCGATACTATGAATTTCCAGTCTTGACTGAGCTAGTTGACAAGCCGCAGCATTAAGGAGCAGTGAAAGCCGAAACCCCGCGCCAGCGACCTTAACAATGGAAGCCTGTGAGCCTTTGGAGAGAAGAAGCTCATTAGTAGAATTTCTCAACTCCAAATTAAAAGGTCCTACCTTGTGCCATGATGTAGCAGTGTTTCAGATCAGAAGGCAAAGTGGGTTTCCCTGATCATAACCTCGAAGCTACTCTCTCTGCCAAGAACTAGAGCCGCAAGCCTGCTTATCAAGTGACTCATGTCTGACATGTGTACGGAGTACTCCGTATTTGTCCCCGCGATTCGTGGCGTCCTAGTCTATACTTTCTCGCCTTCTCGTTGGCTTGATCTAGCACGTGTTGATTGTTCGATTGAAGTTCCGGGCCAAAGTACTCCGGCACTCAAACTTCAAACACGTTCCTTTCAGCTCTTTGCCTTGGATTTTACGAAGGCTGTCTCGCCCGTATCAAAAGGGCTGATTCTCTACCGGAGGTCTTCGGTTGCACGTGAAAGACCTTATCCTTGCTCTTTACCTGGGTTGTCTCCCAGGGCGAAATTTGATGGCAATGACCTTGTAATTCGAGAACTGGAAGAACGAAAGATAACCTAATTCCAAAGTTCTGTTCTCGTCCCGGGGGGGGGGGGGGGGTGTTTCACGTTTAACAAAATATAACGAGGCAGCTACAAATGATGGAGTACGGAATAGACATGCAACTATTTTGAGGTGGATCTCACAAATGTTGACCTCGTTGACCTGTTGGGTAGGAAACCTTCCACAGAGTATGGAATGGAGAGTAGAGAATACCAACATCCCAAAGAATGTCTGTATTATTCAAGTATCTTATGGGCCTACTGTTTTCATTCAGACTTGTTTATTTAGTATCGGACCTGATGAACGCATTTCCGCTTTCGGCCTCAACAGTTACTTTTGCTATCTGCCTAACATCCCCTGAAAATTTCCCACTGTTCCCTCTACAATAACCCTTCGAAATCTTTTAAATCCAAACTCGACTCTTAAATCCTTTGTTGTGGCTACTGTGCTGGCTAATTGACCTCCGCCGCATTCTCCGCCCCTCCTTTTTCGCCGCGTGGCACCTCGTCATCTCCCGGAGATTGTCCAAGCTTGTCCGATGACCATCTAGTGGTCCACCATCGGACGTGGGAAACTCGTGATAAAACAAACATACCCAGGTAAGAGCTCAAAAGCTCAAGGCAACAACTGTGAGGCCGGATGGGTGAGTTCCCGAAGGTATCGCGAAGGAACGTGAGGACGCAAGGGACAAGGATCCGATACACCACCTGAAGGCCCCTAAGAGCCTCCATTCCATGAAATCATGACCGCAGCCTCGGGTGTCACGGTAAACACCTCCGATTTCCATATACCTTTTCCGCCGAACGCCGCCAATTCGTCCCAGCACGAACCACAATCGACGAAGGGCGATCCCCCCACAAATCAGAATGAAAAGGAGACAGAGGGCTCAGCGCCCCAACAAGTCGCATCTGAACCTGCTGCGGGGTCTGCAAAACAGGATCACACTGCATCGGATGAAGTAGATGAATTTGGCCTTCCCATTCGAGTACGCCGACCCGACCCCATATTCAATGAGTTGCCCGAAGGAGAGAATGCCAGCCAAAACATACAGAATGCGGCGGTGGGCTCGACGGGATATAGTGACGCTGTGAAAATGGAGAAGGAGCCAGAGCTGTCACAGGGCAAGCTGGACTCTGGAGCCCATGGGCCAACCAATCCGAATAATACAGAAGAGCGAGGCAAGGGCGCAGGGGCTCAGGACACGTCTGCAACCCCGGAGTATTCACAGGCCTCTTATGCTATTGCTCCACCTCGGAACTCAACATCGAAGCAAAAAAAAGCCCAAGTATCGGAATGGTCGCACCAGCGCATCGCCCAGCCTGATGCACATCACTCGGAGAGTGAAGAGTCCGAGGCAGAGCCGGATGAGTGGCAGGTGATGCCTGCACTTGGTGAATTTGACTACTATGACGACTATGGGAGACTTATTGCTCGTGGCGCCAAAGAAGAAGGCGACGAGGCTGTATACCAAGGATTAGGAGGAGCAGGGAGGGGTTATACTCGGGTGCAGCTCGACGAAGATGTTCAGTCTGCCACCAGTCTAGATGATGATACAAACTACCTGTTCCGGGAGGCAGGCGACAATTCTGCTGGTCTGGTTGGTGAGGAACTGCGAGACTCCACCAGTCAGCTCCAGGCCACCAAAGACCTTCTCAACGAGACTCAAAGGATTGCGTATGTGGGGGTTGTCAGGTTGGTAATCCATAATATGAATCATGATCTAGCGTCGATTGCCACAACCAAACTCACGCGCAGAACCGTGCAAAAAGCCTCGGATGCCATGCGACAATGGGGCCAGTCGATCATGGGGCGAGTCTATGCTCATATGGATATCAATTCTGCCGAGCAGATCATGATTGAGCAGCTCGCGGAGCATGGCGTGCAACCAAAAGATCTGGTGCCTCCACTTATGCAGAATGCGCGAGTAAAAAACCCTATGGCACAGAGTGAACCGAACACCTCTGTATCATGTTGGAAACTCGACTCTCCATCTAGAGTCTCCGCTGAGACGGATTCTTTTGAACTAGATCCCCCTCCGCCATACGAGGCTCACGAGACTGAGGAGCCCCCGGTGGTCAAGATGCCCTCTGAAATGCCAATCTCTGATCGCATAGACATCGATCTCCGCTGGACTGTCCTCTGTGACCTGTTCCTTGTGCTCATCGCCAATTCGGCATACGACGCTCGGTCGCGAACTCTTCTGGAAAGGGTCGGTGCAGCTTTGGATGTGACATGGCTACAGATTTCACGGTTCGAAAAGCGAGTCACAGACTCCCTCGAAATGCAGGAACAAGCAGAGAAAGAGAATTGGGACGAGTCAGATCACATGGAAATGCGCCGCAAGATGGCGTTGAAGCGGAAATATATGATTATGGGCTTAGCGACAGTCGGCGGCGGACTGGTCATCGGCCTTTCCGCTGGATTGCTGGCACCCGTCATTGGAGCTGGTCTTGCGGCTGGTTTTACTACAGTGGGTATTTCTGGAACCAGTGCATTCCTGGGAGGAGCTGGCGGCACAGCTTTGATCGCTTCTGGCGCTACTCTAGGTGGAAGTACTATTGGCATGAGAGCTTCACAGCGACGCATGGGTGCAGTTCAAACGTTCGAATATCGACCTCTTCATAATAACAAGAAGGTCAACTTGATTGTAACAGTTTCTGGCTGGATGACTGGCAAGGTTGATGATGTCCGTCTACCTTTCAGTACTGTCGATCCGATTATGGGCGATATCTATTCGGTGCTATGGGAGCCTGAGATGCTTCGAAGCATGGGTGACACCATCAATATTCTGGCAACGGAGGTAGGCTGTTTAAGCTTTATGTGTGGTGATTGTTGATAGACTAATTGGTTTTTTAGGCACTAACACAAGGTCTGCAACAAGTATTAGGTAGCACCGTCCTGATGGCGCTGATGGCATCCTTGCAACTACCACTTGTCCTCACTAAACTCGCATATTTGATCGATAATCCGTGGATCGTTTCGTTGGCACGCGCCAATTCAGCCGGCCTTGTTATGGCCGATTCCTTGCGAGAGCGGAATCTTGGCAACCGGCCTATCACATTGCTTGGTTTCTCCCTTGGCGCGCGTGTGATCTTCTCCTGTTTGAAGGAGCTGGCCGAAAAGGGCGCCCACGGTCTGATTCAGAATGTATATTTATTTGGCTCACCCATTGTGGCGGACAAAGACGAATACCTCAAGGCTCGTAGTGTGGTATCTGGACGATTTGTGAACGGTTACGCCACGAATGATTGGATCCTGGGCTATCTCTTCCGCGCAACAAGTGGTGGCATCATGAAGGTCGCCGGCCTCGCAGCTGTCGAAGGCATACCGGGCATTGAGAATTTCGATATTACCCAGCTTGTGAATGGCCACATGGACTACCGTAGGGCTATGCCTCGAATTCTTCGGGAAGTCGGTTGGGAGGTTCTTGAGGTTGAGTTTGCAGAAATTGAAGATCCAGACCCAGATAATCACGCTGAACGACAGCGTGAGTTGATCCGCGAGATAGATGAAGCTCGCCGAGAAGCAGAGGCGAAGCCAGAGAAGAAGCGCTTCAGTCTGTTCAAACGAGGCAAGATAGCCGAAAAGAAGAGATGGGAAACATATGATGTTGATAAAAACACTGCCCCTCGCGATTCAAACGAGCCCGAAAGCACCACTAGCTCTATTCTCTTCGACATCGAGGCCATTCGAGCCGAGTTGCACTCCGAGGCTATCGAAGTCAAAGAATTGGAGTCGACTATGCCTTTGATGAAGCTAGAGCTCAACGCTCCGTCAGAGCCACCGCCCACCCAGCCCTCTCCCCTTATTGCCAAGAGGCCCGAGACACCCGAATTTCCAGCTGCTTCTCGGACTATTTCGAAACCCTCACAAGCATCGGGGCAGTATTCTCCTCACGGACCCAACGAATTCTCTCCCGTGCCGCAGCATGAATATATGGAATTGACGTTTGACACATCTTTCCATGATTCCCCACGATCCAGAAACGAAGACCTTTACTCTCGTCCGGAGTTGAGATCTGCCTCTACAATGCCGACGGTTGGGTTCAGCGCCCTTGGAGCCATGGCCATGGAGCCCAATGCCTGGGCGGACTATGATCTGGGACATCAGGATGGTGAGATATCAATGACGTTCGAATAGCGTCGTCTCTGGAGTTCTTCTCATCTTGCTTTCCCTCTTCCTATCTTTGTATAGTTCTTCCACAGATTCGGTTTCTGAGACTTGATGAGGCACATGGCTTGCACATTTGTGTTTGGCTTCGCTGGGATCTGATTATGTATATGCCTTTCCATCTTTGTATAGAGGCAGCCCTAGCTTCAACACTTATCACGATACGATTTCAAGTTACACGCAAACGGATTCCCAACCGGCTTCTTTGCCTGTTTTCTCGTAGAATCAACCTCTCTGCAGTGATCGCTATATACACGATTGAGACATAGGTTGTATAACCTATACAATCTCTATTTTGAAAAGAGATGTCAAATATAGTGAGCATTCAGTAAGTAGGCTTCACTCTGGAAGCACACTCAGAACATGACTCAAGTGTTGAATTAAATAGTTGTCGATCTTGTCTTGAGCCCGATTTCATCCAACTAGATGTATGAAACTTCGTCGCCCCAACATCGGCTCTATTGTTTATGATCGTTCAGGTTGCCTTTCACGGCTGGGGCTCTTCTTCCGCACGAGATGGATACATTTTGTCCTTAAAGTGGCCGTTGGCTTTGAGTTCGGTGGTTGAGCTAGAGATGGCCTCCTTGAAACCTTTCCGCATGCTGTGAAAGCCCTTTATTCCCAATTTCTTGATGCAAAACCGCGGCTATTAAGATAGTAAAGCCCATCAGCAGAGCAATCCACTACAAAAAGGTAAAGTAGGTCTTGCTAGGACATTGTATAGATGTGGAATTGGAGTTACAATCGCGACGCGTTTCCCCTCATTGTGGCGCTGGGTACGGCGGAAAATAGCAGCATATTGGACAAATCTGCCATAGACATTTCATTGGCTGAAAAATGCTGACTAACATGCCGCCTCCTTCCCACCGCTTCTAATCTGAAATTCATGTACAACATGAGTTTGAACCTTTCGAGGTGTCTGTTGAGATACCTTTCGAATAGAACTTCTTTGTTTAATATTCAGTTTTTGGGCGTATGTATGTTTCTTTTGGACATATTGTAGGAGCCTCTTTGTAGGTTCTTTTTCCCTCACCTCAAAACATGGATTAGAAATAGGTCACTGCAAACCATAGAATAACATAGAAAAGCATGATTCCTATTAAACCGACTTTCTAAGACATGACATGGATCACAACGATTAGTACGGAGTACGGAGTAGATAGATCTAGACGGAGTGTGTTGTAGATGGTGCTGTGCGCAATGGTTTTCTGCCGGGTGAAAGCGGCGGTTCAACCAATCAAAATCCCCGATGTCCGATGTGCCGCTATAGCCCGCCGTAGCCAGGTGTCCGCATTGTCTCAGCTTCTTGAAACCGAATGTTCTTTGTCTCGAAGACCAAAAACAAAACCAATCCCGACTCAACACGTTATCTCGAACTGAACCGCAGATAACTTTTCTCAGAAAGTTGAAACCACGCAAGCACGCGTCGCTCCACACTGAGCCCGAATTTCTCCCCGTTCTGAGCAACGCGCTTCACATGAACCCGGACTAATTCCCTTTGACTTAAAGCTTTCAGAGCCTCGAGGGTGCTGACATTTGAAATTTGGACTCCTTTGCAGCCGTTCAAAATGGCAGCTCAGGCAAAACCTGATTCCAGCTATGCATCTAATCGCATGACAAGGAGGAATCCTCCCCGCAGGCACCTTTTGTCTAATTTCAATAAACCTGAGCCTGTAGATGCGAAAATCGAAGTCGCAGGAGTCAATAAAGAGGCTATTGAACTTAGCATTGAGACAAAGCCGGAGATTGATACCGATGCCGAGCCTTTAAGTTCCGACGAAAAGGAAATCGAAGACCCCATGCCAGACATCGCTCAACCTAGCATCGAGAACAAGCTTGAGATTGATACAGATACCGAACCTCTCAGCTCTCCACCTCTCAGCTCCTATGATGAGGAAGCGGAAGACCCGAAGTTGAACGCTGCTCAACCCAGTATCAAGAAAAAATGGGATATCGACACCGATGCCGATCCTCTAAGCTCCGATGAAGAGCAAGCTAGCGATAGCGATGCTTCCCCATGTTGCAAAGAGGTGAAGTATACGACTTTGGAGAAGAAGTTTGCGGAAGGAGACAATAGGACATACAGTAGCCCACAAACTTACAATGGATACTCTCGCAGAGGCGGGTTTGTGCGAAAACTCAGCGCTATGATGGGCTCCGATGATGACGACCTACTTTTCTTCTCCTCACAGAGCCAGAACAAGCGGCATAAGAAAAAATATGCGTCCAAGGACACCTATTTTAACAAGCCAGCTTTTTCTGCACGAGAGACCAAGAAAGCGAAAGAGCCGTCACCGGTCGAGGATGCCCCCAAAGAGCTCGAGGAGACCTTTATTATCCCAAAGGATGTTGAAAATTCAAGTTTCAGAGAACCTCATGGCGGAAAAGACCCAAACTCCAGTTTCTCGCACGGCCGATGCACGATAGAAGAATACGAAGCAATGTTGCTTGAAGATGATTCACCTCTTTCGTCACCGTCTTCTTCCACTTGCGAGCAAATGTCGCAGCTTGATGAACTCGCAGCCAAGGAGAAGCGCCAACAATCACCACCCTGTAAAGCTTTGTGCCCGATGTGCCACAAAGAAGTAGACTGGGCTTCGCTAGAACTGTTCAAAGCACAGCCGAAGCAACGAATTCGCGAACAGGTGATGTTCTGCGAATCACACAAGCTCCGCAGTGCGATGGACTTGTGGCGTGATCGAGGGTATCCTAAGATTAACTGGGAAAAGTTTGAAGAGCGTGTTCAGAGCTATTTTCCCGAACTCGAAAAACTGCTTTTCCCCGGTGCTTTCTCTTACTACCGAAACATTCTTGGTACCTCTTTTGCGCCAGGGAAAGCGAGAAACTTCCGCGTGAGAGTGAGTGATGACGAGAGGCTTGAGACGATGACCTGTGGTTATTATGGTACCATGGGTGCAACCAAGATGTATGTGGCACATAAACCCTGGATCAGCCGGACTTCGCTAACAGACATGTTTAATCCAGGCTAGAAGCAATCATCCGTCGTTTTTCTGTGGTTGTACGTCGCCTGGCGACAACAGATGAGCTTATCAAGACAGCAGGCGTGGCTGGCTACACACAGTCTGTTCTTGTGCCCGAGCTGGCTGTCCTAATGGTCAAGGATGACATGAAAGTCAACGACGAAGAGGCCCGTCGGATTATGAGGGAGAGTATGGACATTGGCGATAGAGTCAATCCAGACCTCAACGTTGTCCCGATGCCGGAAGATGTCGAATTATGATTGTGAGTTTACTTGGCTCCATTATACACCATGGGCGCTATGTTATTTCATTTACTTTCTGGCTATGGCTTGTGTTTCATCTCTTTTTGCCTCCCCATTCCAAGGGTCATGCAGTTTTGTCATCCTGAGCGATTGTATATTGATAGCCATTATGATACCACTCATGCTTTGTGTTATGTTTTCTTGAATGTCACTCATGTCCATTTTCAATTGAACGCTCAGTTAGCGCATGGTAATCGTAATTCGCGGGATATCCCGAGTAACTCGCAGATGCTGTAGATCGAGAATATCAACCTTGACCCAAAGAGGCTACTTGATGGCGGGCTGGCCCGTGAGGGGCAGATTTGTCAGCCGATAAGGTGATTTGTTCGGTCAATGATACAATGCGGAGAAGCATTCTGCGCAAGATTGAAACTTTCACTCTTCCATCACTCACGCATAAGATGAAGGAGAAAGACATGCGACATTCAGAGACTACACCTCTGCTGGAGGTCAATGTCGCTCCTCCGCGGCATAGATATCCGCATCATGCTCTTCGTCGAGCGTGTACAATGTGCCTTGCAGCCCTACTTTCTGTGGCGACGCTTCTATTCTTACTTCCCACCAGCATTCTGCCTCGAGAGGGCGGCTCCATTTGGTCCTATCTCCCTGGTGCCAATCCAATCCCCCACAAAGCGTGGCCGGAGAGCTACGGTCTGCCTTATGAGCAGCTCCAGCAGATCCTCCTCAACGTGCCTTCCGCAGCCAAGGCCCGAGAGTGGAGCCAATACTATACCGCAGGACCACACTTGGGAGGAAAGAACCTGTCTCAGGCGCTCTGGACTTTGGAAAAATGGAAGGAATTCGGTGTTGAGGATACCGGGCTCGCGACGTATGACATTTACATCAACTACCCGCTCGAACACCGTCTGGCTCTTTTGAAGAAGTCCGGTGATAAGACTGAAGTGACCTTTGAAGCTACCTTGGAGGAGGATGTCCTTGAAGAGGATCCTACTTCCGGCCTGCCAGACCGTGTCCCAGTGTTCCATGGTTACTCTGCCAGCGGCAATGTGACCGCACAGTATGTGTATGTCAACTTTGGCACGTACAAGGACTTTGAGGACCTCGTCAATGCCAACATTACTTTGAAGGGTAAAATCGCCATCGCCAAATACGGTGGAATCTTCCGTGGTTTGAAGGTGAAGCGTGCACAGGAGCTAGGAATGGTCGGCGTAGTTATCTACAGTGATCCGCAGGAAGATGGTGAGATTACCGAGGAGAATGGCTATGAAGCCTATCCTAATGGACCAGCACGGAACCCCAGTGCTATCCAGAGAGGTAGCACTCAATTCCTCAGTAAGGCCTTTATTCCCAAGTAATGGCATTGCAAAGCTAACCCGAACAAGGCATCCTTCCTGGTGACCCCACAACCCCGGGATACGCATCGAAGCCTGGATGCGAACGACAAGATCCGCACAACTCCATCCCTTCAATCCCATCTCTCCCAATCTCGTACAAGGAGGTTCTGCCATTCTTGAAGGCGCTTAATGGCCACGGCCCCAAAGCGTCGGACTTTAACGAATTTTGGCAGGGAGGCGGCCTCGGCTACAAGGGTGTGGAGTACAACATCGGACCTTCTCCCGAGGATGTGGTGATTAATCTCCATAACCTCCAGGAGTATGTGACAACCCCACTATGGAATGTCATCGGTACCATCAAGGGCCACATCTCCGATGAGGTTGTTGTCCTCGGTAACCACCGTGACGCGTGGATTGCCGGTGGCGCAGGAGATCCTAACAGTGGATCCGCTGCCCTGAACGAAGTCGTTCGCAGCTTCGGCGAGGCTCTTAAGGCAGGATGGAGGCCATTGCGCACTGTTGTCTTTGCCAGCTGGGACGGCGAAGAGTATGGTCTTCTTGGCTCGACCGAGTGGGTGGAAGAATACCTCCCATGGCTTTCCAAGACCAATATCGCCTATCTGAATGTCGATGTGGCTGCTGCTGGCACCCATTTCGAACCCCGGGCCAGTCCCCTTCTAAACAAGGTTATCAACGACGTCACCGCTCTGGTCCAGTCCCCCAACCAGACCGTGCGGGGCCAGACAATCCGCGATGTCTGGGATGGTAAGATCTCGACCATGGGCAGCGGCAGTGACTTCACTGCCTTCCAAGATTTCGCCGGTGTGGCCAGTCTCGACTTCGGCTTTGGTCGTAGTAAGAACGACCCGGTTTACCACTACCACTCAAACTATGACAGCTTCGCATGGATGGAGAAGTACGGCGATAAAGACTTCCTCTATCACCAAGCTTGCGCAAAACTCTGGGCTCTGGCAGCAGCACAATTGGTGGAGTCTCCCCTTCTTGCGCTTAATGCCACCGACTATTCTCTTGGCCTTGGGTCCTACCTGGACCATATCAAGCCCGCGGCGGACAACCTCCCAGAGAAGATCCACTTCGACTTCGCCCCTCTAGATAGAGCCATTTTTGAGTTCCAGGAATCCGCCAAGGCTTTTGATGCCCATGCTGCCGACCTGGAGTCTCAGCTTGGTGATGACGTGCCTTGGTACCAATGGTGGAAGAAGGTGAGACTGTTGTTCCAGATCCGCGTTACCAACGCGAAGTACAAGGGCATCGAACGGGCTTTCTTGTACCAGCCTGGTCTGGATGGCCGTGAATGGTTCAAGCATGTCGTCTTTGCCCCTGGTATTTGGACTGGTTACTCGGGAGCCACCTACCCCGGACTAGTAGAGAGCCTTGAAGCTGGAGACGTGGAGAATGCCGAGGTATGTGTTTCTTTACGAACTGTTTTTGCTTTGGGCATAATTACTAACTCGCATATTTCTAGAAATGGAGCTCCATTATCCAGGAACGAATTGGTGCCGCGACCAAGTTGCTGCTCTAAATGGCTGGCTGGTAAGCCGACCATCTTCCTTCGGTATGAAAGAGCTTTGGATATTTAGCCTAGTGGGGCTTAGAAACTCACAGGTACATCAATGTGAACAAATTCCACTAGTGAATCAGGGCCGTGTAAACAGTGTCAAACCAATTATCTTGTTCCCAGCATTAATTAATGCGAGCGCATTTACCCCAGACTTCGTCATCTGACTAATCAATTGCATGACCGAGCTTCATCTGCGCACCTTGCATATCTCCTGATCTCACCTTTTTCCTCTTGCCATATCATCCGCTAAATCCTTCAAAAAAGAAGAAACAACCCTTCTCAAATCTACAAAATGGTATGTCTTCCACCACGACTCCAATCCATTCCAAACCACTCACCCCAATCAAACATACCACCAACATACCACCAGCCACCTTTTCCATCTGTCCCGGACAATCAAATCCCAAGCTAACAACACCAAGGCCCCTCCAACAACCTCCGCCCTAGCTCTATCCCTCATAACAAGCATAGGCGGAATAATCGGCTACACACGAACCGGATCCCTCCCCTCAATCATCGCTGGCGTCTCTGTTGGCTTCGTCTACCTCCTCTCATTCCTGCGTCTTCACGCCGGCCAATCCTATGGCGAGGAACTTGGTCTCCTGGCTTCAGCCGTGCTAGGTGGAAGCTCCGTCCCGCGTGTAATCAAGACAGGTGGAAAGCCTGTACCGCTGGTGTTGTCTGTGTTGGCTACTTATGGGCTGTTTGTTTTTGGGATTGCGTTTAGGGAGAAGAGGGCTTGAGAACAAGGACCAGAAATGGAAAACTGGAGAGAAGGAGATGCTCAAGTTACATCCGTAGTTCGGTTTTAGTGTTACTCTTGCGTCAATTGCGTCTCTACATCTCAGCCATTTGCATAGTGGCTTTAGTTGCATGTTGTATGGCTAGTGCTACTCTACGGATTTGAAGTACAGGCAGGATCACTGAAAGCAAACATGCATTGGCAGAGGAATGAAAAGGGCATGGGATTTCAGGCCAAAAACGCCCCGAGATGGATGTCCTACCTCCAGAGAAACGCTAAAAACTTACATCGACCGTAGATGGCATAATTTCGCCGTCTCAGGCAATCACATCAAACAAATTTCTCCAGGCCAGGGTTAAGCCTCCAGTGGGGGGTCAGGAGGGAGGATCAAAGGGCAAGGCACGTACTGTACGTAGGCTCATCGTGAATGTCACGAGCCAATGGCTAAGACCTGGGCCTCCCTTTCCCGAACGAGCGACTGAAGGGAACCTCTCAATTCTTTCTTTTGGTTTTTGGAGTTTTTTTTTGGAGTGATTCGATTTTCTCCTTTAATGTCTTTCAAAATGTCTTCTTTATCTGGCAGCATCAAACTCAAATAGCATGGAAGTTTCCTGGGGTGGTCGGATGAGAGAAGGTAGGACGGGGGAGGACTCGCCAGACTAGGATTTGGAATCAGGGCCACTGATGACAACCAACAATCCAGCCAGGAGAATGCTCATGTGTAACTAGAAGTTTTGACGTGTCGACTTAGCTGGTTTCCGTAACTCCATCACTTGCAAATGCAGCAGGAAAAAAACAACGAAGAACTTATTGGGCCGGATCGATCACCGTGTCGGAATCTTGAACGGCGCCCACGATTACGTTTCCGGGGAGCTCGCCGAGGGCAGTTTGCGTGCTTTTGTCTGGAACGTATGCATATCGAGGTAGCTGTGCCATCTTCTCCTCCGGACTAAGCGTATCATCATTGTAAACCATTCGGACCGCGGGCTTGGTCTTTTCTTTCTTAGGTTTGCTGCTACCCTCTATCTTGGAGGCGGCGTCATTGGCTACGCCTGAAATTTGATTGTCAACAGGTGTGGAGACACTCTCGGTTGGTTGGGCGCTGGATCCATTAGAGTAACCCGAAGCTGCGGGTGTGGGGGATGGGACATGTCCCATGTGCATCTGTTGCATTTCGTGCGCGTTGACGGAAGGTACAGCAAAAGCAGGACGCTGAGGAAGGCTTGAGGCGGCTGGTAGGCCCGTAAATCTGTTATCGGATGGTGGAGGTTGTTGCTGGGGGAAAGGAGGAGCCCCATAGGAGACTGGTGGCTGTGTTGGAAGTCCTGCGGGGAATGGCGAGGGATACCCGGATGGGGTGTAAGGAGAGGCACCAGGGACCTGTTGCCCACCAACTGGGGAGTAGCCTGAATAGGAAGGACTGCCAGTTTGCGAGAAATGAGGTGTAACACCGGCGGGGGGGCCTCCGTAGGGCTGAGGGTAAGAGTATTGCGGAGTGGCTGCGATCTGAGTCGATTGCACCTAGCAAATAGTTTTAGTTCCTAAGTCACTTCACTGTGAATAGCAGGATACGACTTACGTATCCACCGGGTGTTGACGTAGAAGGAACAGCACTAGAGGGTGTCACATCGCCGCTGCTACCTCCGGCAAGTGCCTCTGCACGCCTGGCCTTGTGTTCCGCTAGTCGCTTCTTGAGATCCGAGACAGGTTCAAGCTTGGGCTTCTTAGCCGGTTGGCCGCCAGAAGAGGCGCCAGTAGGAGGGTTGCCTGTTGCATGCTGGCGATCTAGCTCGGCCTGCTGAAATTGTGAAGCGACACGCTGCTGGTGGGCCTTGAGGACATCCGCAGGAATACCCTCCATGCCAAATATTTCAATATCAACGCCCATGCGGTTCGGTAGCGCATTGTGGACCTGGGTCAATTGCTCCTTATGGACCTGGCTCAAGTGCACGGATAGACCTGGCGGCGCAAGCCATCAGTACATGCGCTCACATTATCTAGATTAAATACAACTGACCTCCAGCAGTATTCAGTCTGCGATTGCAGTTGTCACACTTGAAATGCTTAGCTTTCTGATGAGAGATGAGGATCTTCAGGTCGTCAAAATCACGTTCGCAGTAGTAGCACCATGGCCGATCGAGGAGCTCCTCGAGAGAAGGACCACGTCTTTTTTTACCCATTGTAGTTTCGATAGAAACAAAGAGTGATTCAAAGACCGTAAAGGTGAGTGTGGTTTCAAAGGAGGGGATTTTGCTTAGGAGTGTCGCAGATCCGGAAGCTCCATGATGGATGACAAGCCTTGGTCACGTGACTAGCTCAAGATGAAGTATGAAGTTTTGAATAAAAGAACTTTGGAGCAGTTTGAAGATCAATTTTTCTCTCCTTTTTTCTGATTGGGAAAAATATTGGTTCATAAGCTGTAACAGAATTTTCCCACTTTTGTTTCCCTAAGTCACCTTTTGTGAGCGAAGATTCCTCCTTTTTGAAAGTCTTTCAGTTTCTTTTTTTCCTCAGCCATCTGTTCCCTTATTGGGGTTAGCCACAAAATCAAAATGAATATTGGCATCTTGAGAAAGGGCAAAAAAGATGCAGACTTGTCTCTCATAACATGCGATCTATACATTGTGAACGAAATCCCAAGTCTAAAATCCAAAAGACAATCTACAACCTTGGAAAATAGTTCGTGCAAGCTATGAACTACAGATAGAAAACAAGAACTTTTTTACAACATGAATTTGAGTCCTAGAATACATGTGCTGGTGCCCTGGCAGTGTCCGGACACTGCCAGGACACCAGTACCTTCATCATGTATCGGATCATTGCATTCCCAGCCCGCACCCCAGGGAGGTCTGAGATCTTAGGGAACCACCTCGACCCCGGTTTATCGACCGCGGGCTCAGCCCAGTCACAAAGAGGGCCGTGCGCCAAGCAGTGAAGATAAACCGGGGCAAAGATGATTCCCTGCGATCTCATTCCAAACCCTGGAGTGGGCCAAGAAGCAATGATCTGTTGGTGTCGAAGCAATCCCCAGTTCTCTCTCTCTCACTCGTGAAAAAAAAAGTGAGATGAACATGAAGTAAGATAATAGCTAAAGCGAGAGAGGGAGAACTGAGGATTGCCTTGACGAAGCCGGCCTGCCCTCAATGGCGTGGGTCCCGCGGGTTGTGACCCTGGAGGGGACCCATCCCGTGGTACTGGACGTACGGGAATGGGGCGTACTGGGGCGGCATGGGTTGCCCCAGTTGCGCCATAGGCGCAACAGGCGCAGCAGCAGCAAAGGGGTTCACTGGGACGTGGCCGTAGTGAGGGACCACCCCCATAGGAGGGAGGGTGGGAGGCATGGGCTGCTGCTGCTGCGCCTGTACGCTTGCCATTGAGGGCAGGCCGGTGGGCCCCTTGGGGGCGAGGTTGCCAGCAAGTGGTGCCAGCGAGGGCGACCGCTTGCGGCGGCCGGGGCCAGTGGGCTTGGGGACCTCGTCGACGGCGCCGTCGGCGGTCCGGTCCTGCTCAATTTGGGCCTTGGATCGCTTTGGGTTGCGAATGCGTCCTTCCCGGTTGAACCGGTCCCAGTGATCGAGCATCGCCTTGGTCCTCTTAGGGTTCTTCGAATTGGCAATCTTCTGGCGCCTGGCCTCCTCAATCGCCTCAGCGGAGAGAGCCTCCTTCTTGGCCGATGTCGGAGCGGATCCGACAGGGCTTTCGGTGGCCTTCGGTTCGACGGCCGGGAAGGAGGTCTCTGCTGGAGGGAGTGATGAGGAGGCCAGGCTGCTAGCGCCACGTCGACCCCGGCCCCGAGATGCGGATTGAGTTGGGGCAGGGGTGACTTCGAATGTAGCCCGAGAGGAGCCAAGGCGACCAAGCCCGCGGCCGCGTCCGCGGCCACGGCCACGGCCAGAGCCTCGGCGAGAGTTTGTGTCAGAGTGAGTCGATTCGGCAACGACAGTTTTGCCGCCGCGGCCTCGGTTGCGTCGCTTTGCGGGGTGGTTGTCTTCATCAGTTTCGTCACCATCCGCACTCTCGTTTTGAGTCTCTTCTGCATCAGTGGTTTTGGTTGGCACTTCAACCTCTGCAGCCTTGCGTTTCCGAGTGACTTTTGGCACAAGTGGCTCGCGTCGAGGTTCATACATCTGAGGGTGATATTCAAGGCCATGTTTCTTCATGGCTGCCCACCCATCAGGGTTGAGATTGCCACTCTCCTTGTTTTTAGCAATCATCTTTCTGGCTTGCGCGGGAGTTGGGACAAAGCCTCCCTGCACAAATGGATCCTGCTGTGTGCGGATAGGCACAAGTGGTGTATTGCCCGGGAAATAATTATGTTTGTAACCATAGAGCATTGCCTCTTTCTTTTCCTCAAAGTCAAGCTTGTCCTCGTTGACGTGAGCCAGAGGAGCTCCTCCCTTTTTCTTGTGACCCTGCATTTGATGTCGCTTTGTTTGATACGAGGGTTCATCCCGTTTGTGTCGGTGTGCCTTGAGGTAAAGGTCGTCGAGGGCCAGGTATTCATCTTGGAATGTCTTTAAAGCAAAAGCGGCAGTTTGTGTGAGCGCGTAGAGTTCCTCGGGGGTGTATTTTTCGGGGTTGCGGAGCATGCCGACAAGCTCATCGAGTTCTTGAACCTGTACTTCGAGGAACTGGCCTTTGTCGACTTTGGGCTTCTTGTATGGAAGAGGGTGAGGAGCTGGCTCAGGTGCATCACGCTTCCTGGTCTTAGAAGGGTCGTGGAAAGCATTTTCCCAAGTAGATTCACACTTGGCAGCTTCCTGGTCGTAGTTGGGGGAGAATTTGTTGGCATCATGAACTTTCCAGAAGCGTTCGAGGCGCTTTTTTACGTCTGGTCGTCGCCACTGGGCTTCACGGAGGCGATACTCCTCGGGATATCCAGTACGCGGGTTGGAAAGCCAGTCCAGCAGGTCACGTTTAATTTCGGGCATATTGCCGACATTGATTTGGATTGTGGTTGGCTGGGTGCCATTGTTGTCGTCTGTGGTCAGTTCTACTGCGATCTCTTCGCCTTCTTTGTTCTGAACCTCGCCGTCTTCAGGCTTGGAAGCTTGAATTACGGGCTCGTCCTGTTCAATGGCATCGTCATCTTGGAGATCGCCATGCTCGTCGTAAGTGTCATCAGCGCCGTCTTCGACTAAATCTTCGGCGAGATCATCAGCGCCATCGTCGGCACCATCATACCCAGAAAAGTTGATAGATTTCGGGTGAGCTTCGTTGATATGATCACTTAAAACATCTTCTTCAGAGATGTCTGCGTCATTTGGGAGCATCAAAAGCTTCCCACACCAGTCACACTTGAGCCGTCGAGGCATGGGCTCTGGGGACTGAGAGATTTGAGTGGAAGTAGATTGGGGACGGAAGGGTTCAGAAAATTGACGACGCAGCGGGGAGTCCTGGCTGTCACCAATATCCGAAGAAGGATTGTCCCCATCCAAATCGGCCCTTGGAATTGGGGCCATTTTGGCGCGAATGAAGAAAAGAACAAGAGGGGGTATGAGTGTTTTGATTAACAGTAGAAAAAAAGAAGGAGAAAAAACACGGGGTCTCAAATGAAGAATGAAGAGTGTCAAGAAAGAATCTGTATAGATGGTCAGCGTAGGTTCGCTTGCGGGTGCCAAGACGCCAGTAAATCGCAGCGCAATTCCGCGGTTCCAAGGGCCAAGGCACTAGGGACCAGCGCGAACACAAGAATTGCAAGACATAGTAAACCCAGTGAACGTGACATGTAACATGAGAAAAGCATGAAACACAAGACACGGTCGGGAAAAATGCATAAAACAAGATCTGACCGGGAAGTACTGCGAAACTGTGCCATACAAGAAAAAAGTGGAAAAGACGCGACACTTACCATGAGATGTTTAGAGTCGAGTTGGATCCTTGTGGATAGGAGACAGAAGTCACAGCCAATGACTGCTGACTGTTAGTGAGTGCTGCGAAGAAGGGTACAGAATGGCCATGAGTGGCTGCCAGGGATGTGTACTTACTATCCTGACTGGGGAAGGCTGGGTAGGTGACAGTCCACTTATTGGGATACAACGCGAAGTGGGATGAGAGAATAGTGGAGGAGGTAAGATTTAGGACACAGATGAAATAGAGAAGATGTCTCTCAAAAGGCAAAGTACGTCGCAAACTTGTGTATGGCGCGCAGATCTTGCGTCCGCCGGGTAGTATGAAGAAAAAAATGATCTTCGCCGACGCGACACTGCGTAAAGAGGAAAACACGAAAGCAAAGACAGTAGATAGGGTGATATTACAAATCAGAGTGAATACAAGAGAAGAGAATAAATCGAAAGGTGAAATGGGCATAGGATGATGAAGTTGAGAGGAGATTGAGATTGAGAGAGAGATAGCTTTGTAGTTTCATAGGCAGTGGAAACCCCGTTCTTGCCCGACCAATCAGAGGCCCCGTATCTACTAGCCACATTGGACGACATTGAGGAAAGGGGGTTTTTGATTTGGATTCATCAACTATTCTTCACTGTTCATTGATGGTTTTATTGATTCTCTGCATTGTATTGTTGTTAATTTGTCAATTTTTTATGTTTTTTTTACATTGTTACCTACTCTTCTATATTTCGTGCCACTTGCAACGGGCGTCACATGATACGTATTTCAAGAACAATAGCTGGCTATTGAGCCAGGCTGTAAAGGAGATTCAAGCTTGGAGGAGACACAATGGAGCCAAGTTTTATGCACTTGTTTTCAAGGCAGCTTCTGTGGACAGTCTCATGGACTTGATTATATCCATACATACGTGCTCAACAAGAAGTCACGGCAAGTGACAGGGAACCGAACAGGAGATATTTGCTTAATGTTTAGTAGTACCCAGATAATCTGGATATGTACGTGACTGCCCTTGGCCCCTCTGATGCCTAGCCTCCATGTCTTGTGTGGCAACAAAAAGAGTGGCGTCTCATCCTGGTTAAGATATATAGACTGGAATGCACCTTGTCACCTCTTTGTACATTATGACTACCCTATATTATAGAGAATAAGCAAGAAAAGTTCTACATATAGGCCACTCTCGATAATAATCCTCCTATCCATCGCAGGCGTGCCAAACTCAAACCAGCTGTAAATACCAAAGCAAACCGTTCAACTCCAGCTTCCCATAGTCTATAGCATTAGATAGCATACTATTCTAGTCGAGACGAACCATTGTACTAACCGCGTCACCGTCAACGAAAATAGCTACTCATGTCTCCTTCACCTAAACGACATATTATAACCCCTCGGGCCTTGTCGGATAGAAATTCTATCCTAGATATGTTCACCTTTACGATTGACATCTAGGTCTTTAATTGGCTGGTTGGGTATGGTAAGTTGTATTATTCGTAGCATCATCCTATACCTACCGAGTATAGGTTTGTCTCAATGTGTTAGATTTTTTTCTCAAAGTGAAACCTGAGGATACTCTATGAGACACAAAGCTCGACCAATTAAAAAACTGAGTATTTAAAATATGCAAAAAGGAAGACGGTGGCCTTCATTAAAGGGCAGGAAATGTAGCAATGGGTTGGATCGCCCCGGTTTTTCCTGGAATGTTGCCTTGATCTGTGAATAGGTCATGGAATGATTACTACTACTCTAGGCCTTGTCATGCAGAGTCGTATGTTGTATCGAAGCAATCTTTGCACTATAGAACACAATCAAATATGTAGCCAAAAAATTGTAAACAGGGACTGTTGACAGAGCTAACGTTCCCAAAGTATCTCTGAGGAAAAGCACTAGAAATAAAATTGAAATTATTGGAAAGCACTGACAATCCAGTGAAAAGAATAGTATCAGAAACAACAAGCCTAATGACAGACACATACAAGGTGACACAAAGTGCCTAGAGACATACGACATACTGCAGGGACTATACCCACTCTACACTAGAATCGAGGCAGTGTCACACAGGCAGTGTTTATAAACAATTAAAGCCCAATGTTTATTTGACTAGACACTATCTGATACAATGCATTTCTTGAGTGTCGATTGATTTCTATACAGATTGCTAAGCGTTTGCACACATTCCAAAAATGCCGCCCACGCGCGGACGTAATCTGAGATTGGGGATATGGATAAGCGCCTGCTCTAAAGGCCAAGTCCCTATTGCTTCAAATTTTAGACCAAGCCCATAATCCATAGGCACAGCAGTTGTGATTTGCTATGGAGTCTCCAACCTCGGAGGGTTGCCCTTTAGATTCAACACGACGCACAGCCCTGTGATGAGATGTATTTTTAAAGCTGTGTATAGGAGTACCTAATATACTGGTTTCTAAAGTAAGTTGACAACCACAAAGCAGCAATCAAATGTCAACACGCCTCCTGAACATAACCCGGTTACCTAGTAGCGGGAGATAGCATCAGCCCCTAGTTTGAAAGCCATATTGAACAGCCAAATCAGCCATCTAAAGGCTGTCAGCAACTACGCATTCATCAAACTACCGAATGAAAGGACAGCCGGCAAGAGAGTGATTACGCCAATGCCACGTCAAAAGATGACGGTTATTATGCGTGAATTTTTATTACTAAACTATCGAACAGAGATCTTTCATCCCCTTTTTTCGTCCAAGATTGGGGTGTTTCGTCAGTCTACGCAGTTCGCAGTTGTCAGGCGGTAAGCTGGTGCTTTTCTGTATCCTCGGCCTTGCTCAAGATCCGTTTGGCAATCGACATTCAACAAAGCATGCGACTCAGTTCTCCCTGTGCTTCACGCGCTTCAAAGTTGCCCACGGCGTTCTGGAACGCCTCAAGTACCGCGCGGATTTTATCATCTGCTTGTTAAATGCAAATCATCTTGTAAAGCGACATGCTATAAAGGAACCCACGATCACCAACAAGAGCAAGGTGAACTCGGAGAGCACGGGATTGGAATTGTATGCCTTCCTCTCAGTTGCCGAGAGCCAGATGGCATAAATATTCACGGCTTCACACTCGCCGTTCTCGGTTCGTAGCCCGCTGTCAAGTTCACCACCCTCCACAATGGCATCCTCAAGCTCCTGCTTCTCGTTCGACGGGTTGTTGTCATCGAATCTGAAAATTGAGTAAGCCTCCATCAGACAAACCGAAGTATAAGAGTGCCGCTGTACTTCTCGTCTATTGAAAAGTGGTCTTTAGTAGGGTGTAATTTCCACAACTAGGACATGAAAAGTAGGGGCAAAATGATCGTTCTAGACAGATTTCAACGTTAGCCTGGGATAATCACCAAGAAGAGGTGGGAAACAAGCCAAAAGAGCGTTTTTGGCATATCCGATATGAAGGTACTATAGACCAAGTTAGCAAAGAAATGTGCCAGCCCTGGAGCATCAAGGAAACGTACGAAGGCTCTGGCGGCAATCTGGTAGAGATAGCTTCCTTGGTATTCTTAAAAGGTTCATATGGTTAGCCATGAACATCATGAATCAGTTGCATTCAAATGGAGACCTTCAGGGTAATACCGTACCGTAGCTAGTACCCTCTTTAGATATAGCAAGCTTCTTGTCGCGAGAGGCAGCATCTGAGAATGTAAAGGCCGATATGGCCCAAGGATACAGATCCTCGAGGAACTTATACCGGCTGGTCAGGCTGACGAGAGTACCCCTCTTGAGAGTGGAGACGGCAATACAATTTCTGCGAAGGGCACCCCATGCAATATCTGCCGTCGAAAGAGAATACCCCTGGTAGGAAGGACCGGAGAAGCAGGTGAGTATCCAGATGCTTTACAACCAAGTCCTAATTCTCCCAGTTCAACGGTAACACAGTCGGACCCGATGTGGGAAAGTAGAATACTAGCGGGTTTAAAATCTAGAATAGTTAGCATTGCTAACTCTTTCAAGGTCCTAGGGTTAAGAACTGACATTTTCCTGTATTTGCATATCCAGAATCCCCAAGAACGACATAACTACTTACCGCAGCGGTTAGAACAGAAAAGAATAAGTGAATGGCTGGTATTTCAACTCTGCAAGAATGGTGTCCAGTCATCCACAAGGCTATCATCAATCACGTCGTACATTTTCCGGAAGCACTAGGGAGCGAAACCAGGACAAAGATAAGCAAGAAGTTCAAATAATAGATGACCTCACCCTTTTCTTTATAGGGTTATTGTCACTATTTGGGCGTCGGCCAATGCACTCTCCATCGGTAGTAGTGACGAAGGGTAAAGTATGAGATAACTGCTTCTCGACTTTTACTTGAACTGACTTGAACCAACAGCTAGTGTTTTTTCCGCGTTACGAAGTTTCATACACTACTTTTTCCCAATACCATCGCTATCGAATATCGAATATCCCGAAAGCCTGGAAAAGATGGTGGGGCTGCCTAAACAAGCTCTCAGATTCGACCGCTACCAGCACGACCCAGCCACGCGACTTCATTAAGAATCCTTCCCTCGAGCCCACTATCTTTACTCTCGCAGCAGCAGACTTAACAACAACAGATGTCAATGGAATTTTTGGGCTAGGTGAAGTTCTAGGCCATAAACCATGGCAAATGCCCCTCCGCTAATTTCCCTTGGACAGGATTTTGGTAACTGGAACATCATTCCTTCATTATACCTTATCATACTAATTAATAGCCGCAGGACGTTGGCTCAGCAAGATTATGAAGCTAACTACGCTTCTCAAAGCCGACCGAAGCTCGTTCGAGATGCAAAACAGATGCCCTCCTCTTCGCCATCTATGACAGTCTCAAGACTGACGGATTTTTGGACTATGACCCAAAGGTCACTCTCCGATTCGAAACCACACTCAAATGGGGCCCAGTCACCTACCTTCATTCGGCTAAACAATGAAGGGAAATGGTCTTTGGTCTTGTACCAAGTTAGCCGTGATGGCTGGGCGGCCATCGCCAATGTGATAGCATATAGGGTGCTACAAGGGTACCGGACTGCAGCATCTCCGTTACGGTCAAGTGCTTCAACCAATCGCTTCGCGAGGCAATCGAGCCTGTCATCCAAGGCACCTCGAATCTTCTCTACCACCATTAGTGAGGCCATTGATGAGAAATCCGACTTCTTCTCTGCTGCTGGTTGAGCCTGGCTTTTCTGTCTGCCTAGGACATCTTGGATTGATCCCACTCTATTATTAGGTACCTCTATACGGCGCTCGGGATCAAATAATTATTACGATGAACTTGGCTTTTATATTACACATGAACAGTCAGCCACTCATGCGGCTTTTGTCCTTGAGGATTGAAGACTTCAATGATAGTTTTTGCGATAATCAACGGGATGACCACTAGTAGCCGGAAGATTTATGCATTTGCAAGTTATGTATCTTCCAATATACATTGCAAATTCCAAACTGGAGGATTATCTCGAGCGCCTTGAGACCCAAGGTGTCAAAACGGATTATAGTCGAGAGATTCTTTCCTTCTCCTAGATGCGACATTAACACTAGAGCTTGTTGACTAGGAAACCCTGACACGAGGATGTATAGCTCACCAGTTTAACATCCTTGTCGACAAGGAAAGAGAACTATGCGCACAACTCCTGGATGATAGGAATGATGGTAGTGACAGTCTTGTTCCCTACCCGAGCTGGGATGCTTGACTTCCCGCCCTCGGTGAGCAGGGCATTATCCTCCAAGATGTTATTGATGAATGAAGCTCTCAGAGAAGGTTAGCTTATATGCAGGCACTACATCCTAAGACACCCCAGGGAGTTACCAACGGGCGTTATGGGGAATCGGAATATTGCGTATTCCTGAATTTCGAACGAAAAAAACGATACACACCGGCGGTAAGACATAAACTCAGTCTCTGGTCCCATTTTAGGCCACCTTTTGTGTCGAGATTCTCGAAGCTCTAGGTGCAATTTGAGACGCAATGCTGATTCCACGAACGAAGCGGTTGGAAAAGGTCAAATACAGCCATCTGAAAAGCTAAATCTTCAAATTCAGCCTCGTGGTATGCCAGATGAGAGTTTTTGAAAATGTGCTAGGGAAATTTGACGTCTCCTCTTTTTTTCAAGGTAACTGTCACTATAGACAAAACGATCAGCATGTATCAAAGATTCGAAAACGGCCTGCCAATAGCGACACACCTAGGTGCATGAAATCAAAGCATCTCCGTCCATTTGTGGAATTTTTGCGAATTCGTGTAGTAGTTCCAGGGATAGTGCGCCATTACGCTGGAGCGTCCAGATCATGGCAAGTCGATTGAACCGCGGCGACCTTTAAAAAAGAAAAGAACCGCATAAAGAAAACCGAGAGGGTATACGAAGAGAATCAAATAGAAGAGAAGGAAAGTCTTCAAGAAAAGATAGGGTTGGCGCACGTTGCTTGGATGCATCACAATCTGCTGTAAATGTGTTGGATAGTCACAAACATTAGGCTGTAGTGCATCTAATTGCGCCTATGCATCAGGTTAGAGGACCTCGATATTGATACACATTACTATTGGGCAGACCTGTCAATAGCTCTGCTATAACAAGTCTATTTTCCCGGAAGGCTTGTAAACACCTACAGCTCAGTGTAGATGGTTCTTTTCGCCAACATCCAAAGCTACTAGAAAGCGACTAACACAATTATAAGCTGCAATCGTAGCGGTAATCTCAACAACCTCCCGTTCATTGAAGCACCCCTTTAGCTCCGCAAAAACCTCATCAGGCACGGTAACTGTCTTCGTCATAGCATCTGTATACTTCAGCACAGCCCTCTGGTCAGCACTCAAGACTAGCGACGCTGCCGCATCTGAGAAATCCGCTTGAGCATCGCCAATAACCTTCATTGCCTCTGAGCCCAATCCACCTTCCGTAAGCAGAGGGGCATGCTGTTCCCACTCAAACAGGGCGCCGTTGACCACTGCGACGCGGCAAATGGCTAGTTCACGGATGACAGTTGTGAGGGTGGTTCGGGTGCGGATTGCGCCAATAAATGAATTCCAGCCTTCTGTGACTGGGTAGGAGTGCAAGAGTGCTAGGTCGAGGGGGAGAAGCGGGTTTGGTGCTCGGCGCGCTTGCACGCTGGCTAGGATTCTGGCTTCGTCTGGTGTGCTGGTTGCTGGAGGGTCTGCAACGTATGGGAGACGCATGGTGGAAGGTATGCAATGGCTGTGGGTGATCTTTGTTGAAAGGTGGTTTGTTCAATGGCTGGGTTTGAGTAGTTCTGGGGTTTAGGTTTGATGTCAGTCGAGATGTGACTCAATGTGCTGTGTTTTGGACCAGGCAGCTGCTTTGAATGAGAGGCAAGTATTCGATACCTGATTCGAAGCTGCAAGATACTATTTTTGAGCAAATCTTTTATTGGTAACCCCACGCGGGTCCATATGGGGCGGATAGGTCAAAGCCGCGGGAGTCGGATTTGCTCTTCCGAGTTCCGCATTTTTGGTTTGAATTTGCTTGAAATCCCATCCATGTATGGACCTGTGAAGAGAAGACGGGAAGAAAAGATGTGAAGAAAAGATATGAAGATGTGAAGATGTGGAGATGTGGAGATGTATCTAGCTGACAGTGTACGGATTACATACATCTATACTGGGGTGCTTTGTACTATGTGGGGTGAGACATTCAAATTCAAGGCCCAGTTGGTCCAACATCTAATGTGTCGAAGGCATGCATTTCCTCTAGGAATTGAATGAAATATTCAAATCAAAGAGTGAGAGATTTGCATTCATCCGTTTAACCAGATTTGACTTTCCAGCTGCAGTCAGTGCTGTTGGTCTTGGCACATGACCTCCATAAGTTTAGAAGCGCCCAAGGTGTCGTCACCTCTCCTGAACATTGTTTTCCCACAACAAACATGCCTCCAAAGGCCCCTAAGCCCACCAGTGATGAGCTTCTAGCTCAGTTTGACGATCTTGGTCTTGACCAATCCGGCAACAAAGCATCTAAAGTCATCCTATCCGACAATGCCAAGGGCGGGCAGGAGGACATCCTGGCCGAGCTGGACCACCTAGCCACTCAGCGTCCAACCAGCGGACCAGGTACTCCGCGCCTGTCTTCCGATAAGCCCAGGTCATCTACACGATCTCCCCGCCCGAGCGCGACCATTGACCGACAACCCGAGGACAAGGCGTCAGTCCGCCAGTCCGAGGAGACCGGCCGGTCCTCACGCGCGGAAATCAAGCCAGAACAGCCGATAGCCGAGATTGAGAATGTTCCCACGCAACGAAAACCCGAGGAGGGTGCCGGCTGGTGGGGTGGATGGTCAGGAGGGCTGTTCGCAACGGCCACTGCGGCTATGAAACAGGCCGAGGCGGCTGTCAAGGAGATTCAGAATAACGAGGAAGCCCAGAAATGGGCTCAGCAGGTCAGGGGCAATGTTGGAGCTCTCCGTGATCTTGGTATGGATCCATCTCTCAAAGATGTTCTCTTCTACATGCAAACTTGAGCTAACTAGCTCACGCAGGCGGCGAGCTTCGAGACAGGGCAATCCCGACATTCACCAACCTTATCCACACCCTCGCTCCTCCTATTTCTTCACATGAACGTCTACAAATTCACGTGACTCACGACATGTCCGGCTACCCGGGTATCGACCCTCTAGTCTATGCGGTATTCTCGCGAGTGATGTCCCAAGTCGAGGGTGGAGACCTGATTGTGATCCAGCGGGGTCAGGAGTCATCCCCGAAGCGCGGGCTCGACGTTACCGGCTACATGAGCAGTGCTGGCTGGAATGATGGGCCCTGGTGGCGGACCGTCACACCCGGACAACCCCGGAGCATCTCTTCCGTGCGAGGTACTGTGGAAGGTTCCAAGCTTGCTCGAGCCAGCGCTGAGTCCTACGCTACCGAGTACTTCTCGTCCCGTGGCGGAATTGAAGAGGCGGCCAAGAACGCTTCGGAAGTCCTGAGTGAATCGAACCCGGTCCGCAGCAGCGATATCTTCCTGGCTATCCAGGCTATCAGCCAGACTACTTCCAAGGACCTCTTCCAGGCGGGCGCGATAAGCGATAAGCCTAGCGAAGGAGCTGTGGAAGCTGATACGCAAGAAGAAGAGATCTCTTTCGCGCTGTACCTCCACGACCCCATTCATGGGATTGCCTTCCACGCCATCTCTCAGAGCATCCCGCAGACATGGATTGAATGGCTCGATGCTTCGGTGCCAGCCCCCGAAAACCCTGAGACCAAGGATGCGAATGGTCAGCGTATTGTGGTGCCCGAAGCTATCGCTGAGGTCATCGAGAGTGGAGGTGTCGACCCCCGCGAGTGGGTTTCGGAATGGATTGAGGAAACTCTTTCGCTGACTACTGGTATTATCGCGCAGCGATACGTGGCCCGACGAATGGGCGTCGGTGAGGGGGGTGTTGGCAAAGGCAAGATGCGAGCTGAGCAGGCGTCGACTGTGGATAGCGGTGCAGGTGAAGCTGCGCGTGCGCTCTAAGACTGCTCTGATCTTTAATACCGAGCTCAAGAGCTGACGCTCTTATTTCAGCATCTTCTGTCGTCTATGTGATACACCCACTCACCTGCACCTGCACTAGCTCTTTTTTTTTCTTTTTGTGGCTATGCCAGGCTGTCTGATAACCATAATAACAGCAAATGCCCGTTGTGAAAAATCACTTAAACCAAGAATAGTTGGCCGCTTATGCAGCCTTGTGATGTCTTTTTCAGCTAGTCTTTTCAACGTCTCTTCAAATGTATGTGGAGGCGGTAAAAAAAAGCATACTTTGTGCCAGAGACCTTTGAAAAGAAAGGAAAATCGTGTATGCAATTCCAGTATATGTACAAAACGGAACAGTCTCCCTATCAACTACCATATTAAGTATTTCCGAAAGCCATTACGGGTATCGTTGGATCATCCACAGCATTCAGAATCTGTCCAAGAAATTAATTCAAGAATCAAGGTCCAGTGGTCCTTCAAGACCGGGGACATGCCAGAAATTGGCTCGGAGGGCAGTCACACTAAAAACAGCATTAGCAAACCCGGTTCCAGCAGCACCGCGCGAAGAGAACCCATCTCTTACCTCGTTGACCCATTGAGCACAGTGTGGGCATCTGTGCCGACCTCACTTTCCTGCATCGTCTTCTTCATATCCGACAAATCAGCTGACCACTTAAACTGCCGCTGTCTGGCAGACGCAGGGGCGTATCCATCAACACCCGTGCCGTTTGTCTCGCCGTTGACATGAACCCCATTCACACCATTCACCTTCTTTCCTGTCTCCTCTTCAGCATACAAGCATCCTCTGGACCAATAATACGGCAACGTGCGTGTGTAAATCACAGGCTTCTCCTCCACATCAAGAACCATAGGAACATTGATATTGTAAAGCTCGACCCGCTCATCCCAGTTCCCGTAAAGATGCTGCACCACCCTAACAGCCAGTCTCGCGGCCGCAGCAATAACATCATCAGGCTGCGGGTCCTTGCTACCAAACGAGATTGCAATACCACGCTTACCACAGAACACCGCCTCCAGCGCACCGCCTACCGTCCCCGAGGAGAGGTTGTAGATGGTGGAAGCATTGCGGCCGTGGTTCGGACCCGAAATGACAAGGTCGATGGGCGCGCGCTCACTGAATAGATTGTGCAGACCTAGTTGCGCGCAGCTGGCCGGTGTGCCGTTGCGGATCACCACCCAGTCATTCTCCGGGTCTGGGGATTCAAAGCTCTCGTCCCAGCTGCCGTCTGCGTTAAACGCGTCTGGGTGTACGTAGCTGGCTGTTAGAGAGGCTTCAATTAGGTGGGCTTTGCCAATCCAGGAGCGAGAGGCTGCCGGGATTGCTACGGAGACTTGGTGGCCGTTTGCTTCGAGGGTTTTGACTAGAGGTTGGAGGTATGGTGAAAGCTTGGTGCTTGGCGGACCATCGTCGTTGACGACCTATTTTGGGTTGTTAGTTCATTTCGACCTTTTTTGTTTTTCTTTATCTATGTTATGCAACGTATTGCTTGGGCGTAAGAAAGCCGAGTGCTTTATCCGGAGAAATATGCCGGATCTATAAGCAGATCCTTGCAGAAAATGGCTTTCTGTACATTTCGCCAAGGTAGGATACCAAAAGAAAAATCGCTTTGCCGGTGATCTCACGTACCAGGATGTGCATGACGGGAGTAAGCAGCGCCAAGGGCGTTAATGGTGAATATTCGAGATTTTGATTTAGTTCTTGGTTTTTTCACTTGAAGATTCCTCGGTGGCGGTTTGGATGTCGGGGGTTTTGTCCTTTTTCTAGTTTTTCACTCAGAAACTAAGAGAAGAAAGAAACGGTTCTGCACCCCGGAAATACTCGGGGTGCTGGACACTTATACCTGGGGGAATCAGGTTGAGGAATAAGCCATTGGCCACACCGAACTACACACCGGGGCAGTTGGGGGGGGGGGGGGGGTGGGTGAAGCTGTTCAGGCTGCGGGGACGGCAATGGTAGGGCCGAATGCAGCGTGCGGTGAACCAATTCGGTTTTGTTTCGGAGGTGCTGACCATGTGTTTTTCAATCATGCGACATCTTGGTAGCTCTGGAGGGAGACACATTACGTACTATATAACCCGGGAGCAGTATGTTGTAGAGGGTGAATAGGACCTGTATAGGCCGTTAATCCTCTGTAGTTCGTAGTCGATACCTCATGGTAAATTGATGATTCAAGTCCATTTAGGTATAGGGCTTAGCTACCAAGTACAGAGGTAGTATAGAAATGGATCTATAAACATAAGAATCGCCTGTAACTGCACTTGAACACGTTCTCAACTCTTCTCCTACCTCTCCGACTTTCTTATGCTTCTAGGGTTTGATGTAGTCAGATGTTTAACCAAAAGGGAAGATGAGGTAATCAGCCACCTTGGAAGACAGTGCTGCAACCTACACGGTAGAACATGGGCTGGATAGAACTGTTGATTTTTTTTTTTGCAAGGATAAATATTAGAGGCTACATGTAATGTGCCTTGTGCTGCATTAAACACTGGCGGACCACTCACAGCACAGGGGGAGTGCCACGAACAGCTAATCTTCACATCTCTCGTAAGACCAGTGAGACCACCTTGCCGGAGATTATACCGCTATAGGGTATACAAGGTACAATGGCATAGTGAGTGACACTTGACCTACATGCTTCCTACATATCCAAGATGTATATCAAATGATTTAGAATTTCAAAATTAAAATCCAACCATCAAAATCTATTTTCATTGTACTCCAGACAGAGTACATCCGTGAATAAAAAAGGGAAATCCTAAAGTGGTCTGTGCCAGCAACGCGCTAAAGACGATCGCAGAAAATCTTGAGGTGGGGAATCCCGTCAGCCCTTCCACCATCCTCTGGCCCCTCAACTCTCTCTTGTTCAAGTCACTCCCAACTACTTCGTACATCTATTTCGAGACTCGGGCACGTAGCAACGTCTTCGTCCCTTACATAACTCATTTCTGCCCACCCACCTGAACCCGCAAAGTCTCAAAAGACTTTTTTGGGATCTTTGCTCAACCAGGTCGCCACCTCAACCTCTCATCCTGTATGGACTGTGGAAATACCGGGACCGCTGCGGGGATCGACCCCAAAATTTTGGACAATTGGCAAACCGAGGGCGCCTTTTCTGTCGCCTCATGGGAACATTTGGGTTATGACCAACCCCCCGAGTGGGACACCAGCCAGGAATCGAGCCAGTGTGATGCGGATATCGCGGACTTAGGTACCTTCCATGGTCCATTGGCCGGTGAATTCCGTCGTCTGGGGAACAGGTACGGAGATTTCTTCCTAATGTGAGACCGCGAAGCGCGATGTTGATGTGGCTGACACTTGTTTTATTGCAGAAAGCACGATGTAGCACCCGAGAACTTGAACTACCCCGATGGCTTTGTCGAGGGCACCGGCAGTGGTACACTTAGCCCCAAGACCATCCCATCTTCCGCCGACGAGAATTACACTTCGGACGAGGCTTGGCCACACTTTCAACTGTACAACTCAGTGAACGTGCCGATGGATGCCTCTCTTCTCTACCCCTACGCGAAAGGACCGAGCCACTCGAATGGCGCTGTCATAGTCGATGATGTCGGAGAGATGCCTCACGGTGGTTTCTCGGATGCCCCGGCAGAGGGTATCATGTCGTTCCAGCAGATTCCACAGTCCTTTCCCATGATCCCCCAGGAGTGGAATGAAGCTCAAAATAGCATTCCGGATAATATGTCTCTGCAGCAAGACTCCATACCACTCTCTGTGAATGCGCAGGAGAGCCCCAAGGATCACTCTCTGCGGGGGTTCCAGACTTCGATCAGATCGCTGGAATCGCGATGGCTTAATAGTCTGGAATCCCCACTTCCCACTCGACGGATCACGCCAGTCTCTCAAACTGCGGGCATACGAAACCCACAAATGGGACAGGAGTTCCAATTCAAATCTGAAAACTCTTCAGTGTCGGGCGATTTGTCGGGGATATACGAGTGCTCCTACTCCGCCACTAGCGAAGAGGCCCCGGCAATTGCGGATCGTCAGTTGGAAGACGACGATGTCCAATGGAAGACCTCCCCGCATGATTCTAGTTCACCGGAGGGGTCGCAACCGGCGTTCAAAACCACTGCCTTCATGGTGAGTGAGGCCCCCCTGGAGTCGCTAGTCTCCAATGTTGCCTCTGGATCAAGGGCTTCATCGACTGCTGGCCATCGTGCCGGTCGACCCGCACCACTTGCCATGCAAACATTGGCTACAGTCAAGAAACGCAAGGCCAGAAACCTGGCGTCAATGGACCAGGGCATCACAAGGCCGTTGCAAATTGTCCAGGAGGATGGCCAAGGCGGCTCCATTGCCTCTGCAGACTTTGTCTCACCCCCACGTGGCGCTCGTCGCAAGGGTCCATTGAGTATGGTTGGACGGGCCAATGCAGGCCTCCGCCGGAAAAACAAGGATACTTGTGTTCAGTGTCGATTGAACAAGCGCAAGGTAAGAATTCGCGCGTACCTTTTTGTCGTTCTTAAAGCTCACGTGTTTGCAGTGTGACGGAAGCGCCCCTTGCGATGCTTGTCGCCCCACACTTCATGAGCAGCCATGCGCTCGTGCATGCTTCTCCAGTATTGTCGAGTTTGGAACCTGCAATTACATCTGTAAGCATCGATCAACTCTCTTCGTGGATAGTTCAAACCAACTAACCCCGTCTAGCCCAACGAGCTGTCAACCACCCTACCATGGATGGTTCCAACCGAGTCCGGATGGAGATTCCATCTGAATTTGACCTCAGTCAGCTCTTGTCTTTGCTCGCCGAGCGCCAAGGGCGGTTCAACATCCGTGCCAGCCAGGCCTGGGGCTCTCTATATGTCCTAGACCTGGGAGAGACCTACAGGTTCCTGAAAACCCTGAGCGAGTATAACGGCAACTCCAAGTCCACTTTCCTAGAGTTCATCGACCGACGAATTGTCGACTCCAAGGACAAGTCTAAGAACTGGCTTTCCTGCCTTGTGGACTGTGACCCAATGAACCAAGCCTATGTAAGTGTGCACTGTCCCGCATTCAAAGGCATACAAACTGATTATCCCCAGACCCTCCTCTCCCAGTGGCACAACATGCCTAGTCGCGCCAAATATAGCTTCGTGTCCCTCGACCCAACAGGCGAGGAACGAACAATGGACATTAACAACCCAGAAGACCAACGAGAGATCCTTCTCGCAGCTCAACTCTCCCGAATCTTCTGTCGCATGCTTGAAGTCGATGGCTTCCGCAAGCTCGAACGCGACTTCTACAATATCAAGTGGAAGCAGATCTCCCACGAGACACACGTACGCTTCCTCGGCGAGCTCGGCCACATCCTGCTGACGCTACGATGGCGCGTGAGCTGGTGGAAGCGACTCGGCGACGGCGGCAAGACCCCGGATCCCACGCAGCAGCACTATGTCGACCGCGTCGAGCTGCTCTGTCGCATCCTCTACGTCTATTACACCTGTGTGATGGCGAAGCTGCCCTCCTGGTCGGCGGCCGATGTCCCCAAGGGCATCTGGTCAACGTATGCTGACTCGGAGAATGCCATCTGGGATGATTTCCCTTCGGACTCCAGTGATAGCGGCTTCCAAAGTTGGATGGAGCGTGGCCATGACCTGATTGAGCAGGCTGGCGTTCCGAGCCGCATCTCGAAATTTTGAGACACGGACGGCAGATCTGATCTGCGAAAATGGTTTGGATGGCAATGACATTGGAGTTAGAATTATAGATACCCTTTTTTGGATTTTTTGGATTTGTTTTGTTTTGTTTCGTTTGTTTCTTTTTTCTCTAGATTTCAAGGTTTGGATTTACCCTGGCTTTTACACACAACCTCCGCACTTACGATTTGATGATCTCGCGCACGGTCTATTCTACCCAGTCGATTTCCCCCCAATTTATACATAGAATTACTGTTTATAGACACATGTACATTGCTTTTTCATCTCTATTTTCTCTCGCGTCTATCTTATATTGTCTACCATTCTATCTTGGATGCATGGATATGTGTAGACCACCCAAGCCAAGAAGACAATAGAAACTGGGTATCGATTTCATGCACTCATGTAACGAGCTCTGTATAGACGGATTGCAAACACGACCGAATCAAAGAAGAAAAAAAAACACCTCAATCCATTAAATTTCCCGCACTTCAAGTCGCCTTCTTAGGACCAGACTTCAAACCTCCATCCTTGCGAGCCAAAGTCCCATCCTTACGAGCCGCATTACGCTCCTTCTGCAGACGATCCTTCTTTCCACCAGCCAGCAGCTCGAGGTGACCTGCCTTTGTCGCCAGACTGCGTTCTGTCATTGAGACGAGGCCGGATGTGAGTTGCTAAACAGTGGTGTTAGCGTTTCGCTCTTGTTGGCTTTCTTATCTTTGCTTGTGTTCCCATTCTCGTATTACAGAGCACGGATTGCAGTCTGGAAGCGAATCGGTGCGTACCTTGGTCAGTTTCTTCTGCTTGATCAGGCCGGCTTTCTTAGGCGCGACGGAGCGGACACCTGGTCTGGTGGTCTTGGCGGGCCTGGTGAGAGGCATTGTTAGCTGAGTTGCTCCTGCGTGAACAGATGGGACTATCGTCTGTGGTGAAATCGTGATTTTGTCCGCGAGTGGCACACTTACTTCCTGCCTGGGCCGGTGGGACCGACCTTTTTCAATGATCCTTGCACCATGGTTGTGTTGGGGTGGGTGGTGGAATCGAGAAAAATTGTATGTAGCACGACACAAGAGGAAGAAGACGAGGATTTGTAAAGTAGCACTGCCAGCAGCACGAAGTAATTCTGGGCTTCTATTTCTTTTTTCGGGGGGGTTGCCGGAGGGAAAATTGCTTATCGGCTTATCTAAGTCACGTGCACGATTGGTCGGGGCACAAATCTTCCGTTCCGAAGTATACATGTACATTTGGCGGAGGATTCTATTATTTATATTATTAGAGAAAGTAAAGATGAAGATGATAGAAAAAGACGAAGATCAAAAAAATTGAGGGCAGAGAGAATGTGAGAAAGACCGGACTTGAATTGGAACAATCCAGGTAGTGGAAGATCTTCGGCATTTCCCTCGTAGAACACACTGACTTGTTACCACTAGGCCACCTGCTGTTGGGGATACTAGTATTAGGGTTCTCTTCCTTTTAGCTTACATTTTTACGAAGTTCTTTTCTGTATTTGTGCATTAAGTGGCATGGTGCGCTTGATCTGTATCACAGATCTGTGTAAATGCATGGAGGAAATGATGTGATTGAATTATCCCATTTGATTCTTCCTTGCGGCAGTTTGAGATGCAAATTCAACACATATATTGATACTCATATTCTTGGCAGTGGCCTCAGGCCTACGCAAAGGATGCTTCGGTTCCGTTGAGGGACTTCAAAGATTGAAGGGCTGTTTCCGGGAAGTCGAATAGGAAAACCAAGGAGCTGATGCTCAAAAGATAGGTCATGATGCCTTCAAGCTGTACTATACTTATCAGCATGGAATCTCTCGAAAGCAAACTCTTGGCAACTAGCATAACCTTCCAACAAAGATTCACTGCCAAACATCGACCCCGGCTTGTTCATCCATCTCTATGCCAGTAAGCCGCCAAAGACCAAAGCACCGTATCCAGGTAGATGAAAGATAGCTCCACACACAAGCTTTGTAGCTCGCAGTTTGTAGAACGGGTGCCGAGTACTGGGGATATAGAAAACGCCGGGAAGTATAGCTCAGTGCAGCCATGGTCCTTCGATTTAAGACGAAGCTGCAGGGGCAATATAGAAAATGTTAGTATAGATGCCTTGGTAGCTCTACTCATGATGACACCCCGAGAAGCACAGAGAAAGACTTTCGTTTGATCTTGTGGATCATGGCTGTGGTTCGCATTTATAAGATCCTGCATGCAATGAAGTATTAGGGAGGTGGTGCTGTAGCCATTTTGGATTGGTTGATGTTCATCCTGCATTCTGTAATCAGTTGAATGTGCACAAAATGAGACTGGGAGTCTTGGTCCTTTGCATCCCATTATGGAACTAGATGTGATAACCCTATGCCCGATCAGGTGCCTTCCCTTTTGGTCAAAAATCGTCACCCACCCCAGTTTTTCAATCGCCTTCAGCCACAGGGAAGGTATGTATCTCCCCAATCCCCCACTTCTCTCTTCTTCTTCTTCTTCTTCTTCTTCTTCTTCTTTCTTCCTACATACCACTCCCGGTCCACATTACACATCGTGGTTACTGTTGAGTATCCTTCAATTTTTGACCTTCAGCTCCAGATTCATATGCCCCATATGTCTTCTGTCCAGTGAATGGGGAACCCTGAGGGCATTTATTGGAATCTTGATGCGGCTTAGCTAAGTCTGAAACTGTGCTAGGGCCTCGGTCCTAGTTCAATGGCACGAAACATGTCGGGCGGACCGTCTGAAAGGAGCTCCTTTAGGAACCGATCGGGCCGTTTTAGCCTCACCTCTGTGGACACTGACTGTAATTTCCCAAGTTCTCCACTGTCCGTCAAGAGCATCAACAAAATGAGCTCTGTTCTCATCTCCTTGTTTTTAATTTTTGGAACCTTTCCACAGAGATAGCTCTCTGTTGCCCGAAGATTTTTCCAAGGACACTTTGCTTCACTTCTTATAGACTATTGTCTTGTTGTGATGTCTCTTGTTGTCATAGTTTCTTGTCTTTTCACCGTTGGCTCGGTTGAACATCAATTTCCACGTTTGTCTTCTATCTTTCTTCTTTGTCATTGTGTCTTTGGTTAGAAATTAAGGCATGGAGCAACACATAACCTAAAGTAAGGCTTAACAATACCACACCAAAGGTCTCTTTGAAGAGCTGCGAAATAGAGGCGCTATAACACTTCCATGCGTGGTACCCACCTAACTAGGCATTGACCGAGACTAGAGAATGTCTACAAGAATATAGAGATTTGTTGTAGACAGATAGAAAATTGCAAGCACTAAACAGCATCAAATAGGGCTACTGGAATTAACCGAAGATGTCACCTGCCACAGACATCCCAAACTAGCGATTGAAATACGGAACTTGAAATTTGAAAATAAAACGAAACGGATGCTTTGGGCAACGAAAAAAATTGGCGGCAGAAAAAATGTCTAACAGGCCGTTCCTGCTAGGATTCATCCTGTGTCCGTCCAGTCTAGCGTAGCTTCTGCACAAAATGTTTGTCGATTTGATCGAAGGACTTTGAATGCCGCGAGAGATGTCTCCCCCCTCCCAAGTTGACGCTTTGGGCATGGCATTTACTGCTGCTGAAAGGCAAGAGTGGTTAATCTCTCTGAAGAAGTCCATGATGCTTATTAAAAAATGCGGTAGACAGCAGAGGCGGGATTCTCTCGTCTGCTCGGATGATGGACGCTTAAATTCAAGATTCATGTCGCTGATGGGGTTGAAGACCTTGGATGCGGCGTAGTGAGATATAATTGATGGTGGCAGGCTTCGTGAGACAGCTTCTTTTATTTTTGGCACGATCTCACCCTTCACTTGTCTCCACTCTCGGGGGGCCCATGCTCGCGTTAGCATTGAAGTGCAGCGGGAAACCGACTTGAGAAAAGAAAGGGTCTCAAAAGATCTCTTGATTTGAGCTTTGAAATGCTATAGCTTGATAGGTATTGTACATGATGCCAAAAACACCGATTACTCTCGCAGCTTACCTCCAGTAAGTGCCTCGCCAAGCTTCTTAACCCGCTCCTGAGAAACGTCCCAACGAACAGCCTCGTTGGCGCGGGTCTTGTTGGCAAGATTGAGAACAGTTGGGGGGTTACCCAAGTTCCAGATGTTCTCACCGGGCTGGTGGTCATTGCGCCACGCTGGGTTCTCACCCTCGGGGAATACCCGGTCGATTTCAGCAGTGAGCTGTTCCTCGGTTGTAATGAAAGTGCGAGCATTCACATACAGCGACTGGAGGTGCTCCTTACGCTCATTCTCCTTCTGTACCCGCTTGGCTTCTAGGCGTGCCCGAGAGAGCGCAAGGCGTTCCTCACGGTTGGGGTCGGGCAAAACTGGCTGTTTGTGAGGCATCATCGCCTCGATGATCGATGGCCGAGTGAGGCGCTCGTCCTCACGCTCGGGTTGCTGAAGGATGCGTTCCCGCCGACTCTGACTCTCAAGACTGCGGCTGACAATCTTTGCATCCGCGGACCTTTTGCGCGAGTACAGGTCTCGCAGACCGTCCCGCAGATTCTGTCTCCGCAGATCCGCCATCTTGTGCTTCCATTCCTGCTTCTCGGGGTTGCTGCTATTTGGGCTAACTACCCGTTCCGTCTTGGGGAGTTGTGTGACTGCATTGAGATATTGTATCCGGGGCTTGTCCGCTCGGCGGGCCGGGAAGAGCTCGCGAGGCACGGGTAAAGTACCCCTAACATGAGGTTTGCGGGGGTTGGTGGGCTGAATAATTCTCGGCACATCGATGAAGTGAGGCGATTCGGGCCCGACTCGCAGGTTGGAGGATGAAGCAAATCCACGGACCTGCACGGTGGCAGTCCGGCTATTGCGGAGGACAGACATGCGGCACAATTCAACCCTGTGACTCTATGGAGTGGTAAAACTGGCAAGGAATTATTGCAGAGTAAAAACGAACCAAAGGCCAATGACAGGACCTTTAAATGAGCTGGGACGTAACCTGAAGTTGATTACCGTATGCTAGGGAGGATACGCGGTCGAGCAAGTCGGAAGAAACAGAAGCGATTTTCCCTTGGTCCGTGCACATCAATGTCTTGGCGCCAAAAAAAAATAATTCCTTCGCCGCCTTTTAATTTTCTTCTTCTTCTCTTTGCTCTCTGCCACTCTTTGTGTTTGGTCTTGCCCTCGATTTTTTTTCGTCAGGCACCTACTTTCTCCCTTCACATTTCAACCCACAACCACTATCATGGGTACAGGAAAGAAGGAGGCCGCTCGTAAAGTGCGGCAGGGGCAGCCCAAGGATGGCATGGCAAACGTCAAGACCAAAGGTGAAAATTTTTACCGGTATGTGCAGCCTCAACCAAGGTCTCTATCATTCCCAAACTCCCAATTCTGACTTACCTCTCAGTGATGCCAAGAAAATCAAAACCTTGAACATGTTCAAGGATGGTACACCGCGCCGCAACGCACAGGGTGAAATCACAGTCGCCGCGAGTTATCAATCTCGAGAGGTGCCGACAGCACGTATCGAGCCAAACCGTAAATGGTTTGCTAACTCCCGTGTCATCTCACAAGAGGCTTTGACCTCGTTCCGTGAAGCTGTGGCGGAGCGTGCTGCCGACCCGTACCAAGTTCTTCTCAAGACCAACAAGCTCCCTATGAGCTTGATTCGGGATAATGACAAGGTCAATGGCCTGAAGCAACACCAGGCTAAGATGGCAATTGAGACTGCTCCTTTCAATGATACATTCGGTCCCAAGGCTCAGCGCAAGCGCGTTAAGCTCGGCGTGTCGTCTCTCGAAGACCTCGCTGGCGAGACAGCTAAGATGCAGGACAGCTACATTGAGAAGAATGATGAGGGAACTTATGCCGATGGCAGTGCGATCGTTCGCGGTGATGACACTGCCGCGGCCGAAGACCTGGGTCTGCTTACTACCTCTCGTGAATCTGTCTTCTCAAAGGGACAGAGTAAGCGCATTTGGAACGAACTTTACAAGGTCATTGATTCTTCCGATGTCATCATTCATGTCCTGGATTCCCGCGATCCTGAAGGTACTCGTTGCAGAAGTGTTGAGAAATACATTCGCGAGGAGGCACCACACAAACACTTGATTTTCGTTCTGAACAAGTGCGATCTGGTCCCAACTGGCGTTGCTGTAAGTTTCACTATTTCCCCTTTGCTGCCTACTCTATCCTTCGCCTCTTGCTTTGTTCTTTTGTCCTGCGTTTTTATGCTACCCCCCCGTTCCATCGCTAAGTCAAGGCCTCTTCCTGCGACTTCGGTCGTGCATAACTTCGGTTGTGCTTGTTTCAATGGAATTCCGTCTGTTACAGCTTTGGTATATTAACACTGACCCGCACCGAATTTCGTTATGAACCTAGGTTGACTTGCTTTCGTATTGAGAGCCTGTCGCAAAGGGCCAGCTGTGTTTTGTTTTTGAGTAGAAGTCTGCTTCTGCCTATTTGGTGGCTTTGTAGCAGACTTCTTAGTAACATCCCACACATTCTACTTTTACACAATGTTTTATTCATTGCTAGTGACTGGTTGCTGACTTTGCATCTTTGACTAGGCCGCTTGGGTTCGTCATCTTTCTAAGGACTACCCTTGTCTTGCTTTCCATGCCAATATCAACAACTCTTTCGGTAAGGGTTCGTTGATCTCGCTGCTTCGCCAGTTTTCGTCCCTTCATTCCGACCGTAAGCAGGTGTCTGTTGGCCTGATCGGCTACCCTAACTCGGGCAAGTCTTCCATCATCAATACTCTTCGAAACAAGAAGGTGTGCACAGTGGCTCCCATTCCCGGTGAAACCAAGGTGTGGCAGTACATCACCCTGATGAAGAGAATCTATCTCATCGATTGTCCTGGTGTGGTGCCGCCCAACGTAAACGACACCGAGGAGGACATTCTTCTCCGTGGAGTCTGCAGAGTGGAGAACGTTCACAACCCAGAACAGTACATTCCCGCTGTTCTCCGCCGTGTTCTGCCCCGTCACCTTGAGCGCACCTACGGCATCAAGCATCAGGAGAACTACCTCGACTGGCTCGCACTTCTTGCTCGCCAGGGTGGTCGTCTCCTCAAGGGAGGTGAAGCCGATCTGGATGGTGTAGCCAAAATGGTGATCAACGATTTCCTTCGTGGAAAGATTCCTTGGTACACACCCCCACCCAAGGGTACCGGAAAGGGCGAGAAGGACGAGGAGCCTGCCGACGGTGTCGAGGGCCGTGAAGGTCGCCTCGGCGAGATGCCCCGCAAGCGCAAGTTGGATGAAAACAACGAGCCCGCTGCCAAGGAAGCTGAGGCCGAGTCTGAGTCCGCTCAGGACGAGGCCATCAATGCTGATGACAGCGATAATGATTCGATCGCCAACTTGGAGGTCAGCGATGTGGAGAGTGGCGAGGATGAGTGATTGATCTATCGGTGTTCTCTACGGCACTCGAGTGTCATCTCCATCCCGCCCTACGAAAAATAGACAGCCTGCCGCCATGAGATCGGCTACGCCAGCTCTTGAAACAACAGAGCTTCTAGCCGAGTCATTTCTCTCACCATGTGGCTCTCCACCAGGCATTCGGCATGTGCTTTCATCGCACAGAAGTCTGAAGGCTGCCTTGCGACATGTCGCCCAGGCCTGAAGTGTGCCTGTCATCCAAAAAGCCGCGTGATGAACGTGAGCATACCAGTACATCATTTGTACAACCCTAGGAGTTCAGGTGTTTAAGTCACAGGCTCCAACTCAGATACCCGATTCGATGAGGAATCAAAATGAATGAAATTAATTCCGACATAAGCTCTTTCTCGCTCATATAAGTTTTAATTGGTGTCTTTATATTGGTATCTCGTACACGTGTCTCTATAATCAAAACTTGCACCTACAGCTTCGCCACCCGTGGACAGTAGGAGGCTCAGATGAGTCTGGTCATGGTCCCACCTGCGTACTTTTCAACCACGGGTTGAATCTGGGGAGAGCAGCGGGGCAGAAAATAGCGACACGCTTGGTCAAATCCATCTTCGCTAAGCAATTTCCGACAAAATGCACTGGTCTCCACCTTGTCCTTTCCACTGATCCTTCCAAGGTGCTGGGCGGTCCAAAATGGGACGAAGGCCATGGTAGCTTCGATGACGGGTCGGCACCATCCTCAAAAGATCAAGCACATTAAGCCCGCTACCTGGATCCCGGATAGATGGATTAGCTCCAGCACGCAGGAGGATATCCACGACCTCAAAGTTGAAGCGAAGACTAGCAATCCACACCGGTGTGGCCCCAATCCGTCCACCAGGGGCATTGATATCGATGTCTGGCTCGGTTGCGAGAATAGACTGGACGACTGGAATCATACCAAACGAGGCGGCGTAGTATAGAGGATGCGTCCCGTCAATGGCCACTGTATCACTCCTATTTGACTCGGCGCTTGTCTGCAACAACGCCTGCATCCATGCGCCATAATTGCCCCGACCGGGAAGAGACCTTGTGGCAAAGAATCTATGGATCATTTCATGCTCGGGGCCCCCAAAGCCGCAAGCAGCAGCATGTTGGGGCCAGAAGTTTGTGGCATAATTCATGAAGGGATGATTTTCTCGTACTTTGGCTGGGTTGTCGGGACTTGTTAGGTATCCCTGTGCGAAATTGTCGAGGCACAGGTACGTGAGACAACTGTGCATGGCTTTCAGGTCTGCAGTTGTAGGATCCAGGGCAAAAAATTGGACTCGAGATGACCGAATCCAATCAGATGTCAGAAAATCCTTAACAGACGCATGCGCCAGATTGAGATTACCATCTTTGTCTTCGGTGATGAGCCCTTGGCAAATTTCAAGAAGAATGTGTGGAGGGACAAGCATCATGTCCTTCTCAAGTGTTATGCTTGTCTCGTCCATAGCCACAATTTCGTTGAGACTCCTCAAGGTAAGAGGCCGTTTGGTGAAACTGAGCCAAAAGAGGGCCTCGTGAACAATCTTCCAATCATCAGGAGCAATTCTTTCCAACATGTTTGCATATGTTTCGCGCAAGGTCCCTGGGAGGGTTTTCAGGGCCTGTCGCATCGCTCTCACAGATCGCTGCGTGCTCAGGTTGTCCAATGAGAGCTGGACCCAGCGGAATCTGTGAAGAATGATTAGATTACAGAAAGCACCTTTAGATCGTTTCTATACTGACGATCCATCGGCATTTCGAAGAAGAGTAAATTCAATCTCCGCTTGGAATTCTGGTGCCAAATTTCTCAACGTACTATCAGTCTGGAGTCGGTGTTTGACAAAGGTACCAATGTCCCCTCGCGATTTTCCGCTTATGTTTAAGACATATACATAGGGGTGCTTGATGGAACTCATGGTGCTTGTCGTGGTTAGAAGCACACGGATGTTCGTGGATAGGCTGGCAAGCCTGAGAAGAGATGCTTCAAGAAGTTGCATGTCATGGCTTTCGTTGATTGCATCAACCAGAAGGACGATTTTTGTCTTTTCAGAAGCAGACGTGGCGATGGCTGCTTCGAGAACAGATAATTCGATAGGGAACCTGTGCGCTTGATTCTTTGGACCTTTCTTGTATACAGAGCGAATCTCATCCAAGATTGAAGGAATTGTGCTCGACAGCTGTGCCACAAGTGATCCTAGAACATTTCTTGCGTTCTGAGATGCAAAATCGCTGATTGTACAATAGAAATAAGCGACACACATGGATTGGCCCTGAGAAGCCATATAAGTAAGTTCGTCGGCAACTTGCGCACTGGTGAATGTCAGGTCAGATACAAGAAGCAACCCGATTGCCTAACAGAACTTACAACAGTGTAGATTTTCCAGTTCCGGCTTCATGGAAATATCAGTGAAATGTCCTGAAAAAGTGCAGTGGGTACATACATTTTCCCCAGAGGAAGAAAGCCCGATTTTCGTCTTGGTTGAGAAACGTCTTTAAATGACCATCGACAAACCATCTACCAGTCCCAATTTTATGTCTTTTTGACGCTCGTAGATGAGAGCTTTCGGGGTTCACAGGAGCTATCCATTGCAGGAGCTCTCTGTTAGCATATTGATTCCGCTCTTGAGCTCGAATCTGTAAGTCTTCCTTCAATGTGTTTGTCAGATCACGAATCTCATGCTGCATCTCCCGATCCACAGATTTATGGTCTGCAATGAGAACTAGTATCAACCAGGATTTGACTCTTTCTAGGCGGACCAGATGCTCACTGACTTGCGTCTGAGTAAAGGGCCATTTCAGATTTTGCTTGAGGCGCTTGAACTTGGTCTCCGCTGCTTCCAAGTCCATGAGTAAGGATTGGAGGAACTCATTTGTTGTATGCAACACTCTCGCCATGACATCGCGGTCAAACGGGCTTGTTTCTGATTTCTCCCATATAGGGGTATCATTCATCTGGGCCGTCAGGTGCTCCAAGATCCCCTTTAAAGCAAAGAGCTCTTCGCTGAGTTTTCGCACTTCGGACTTCGCCGTCTGCACCGTTTTGGCATATCTGATCAGGCTCGATAGCACATGGCTGACCTCTATTACAAGACCGGTGATAGAAATCGGGTCCATTGGGATCAAATCAGGCTGGAATTAGGGTTATGTCCACGTATTTGAGGTGAGCACCAGGCTATCTTGGAAGCGCTGTGTGCGTTGTGTAAGCTGTACCCCGCCTGGGCACTCATAGATCAGCCTAGCGTCGCAGTTTCGGCTCTCGTGAGGAGACCCGAATTGGGTATACGTTTAGCTGAGATTGCGATTTTTTTCTGGGATACGGTATAAATAGGCTTCATTCCACCTCATACTTCAAAAAAGAGTACAAATTAGGAGCATAAGGACGGTAAAGAGCGATATTGACCAAAAGTGTCACTATCCAAGGCTGCCCTGCGCTCACCGCCTTAGGTCTACAACGTCATTGGAGGGAGCTTGTACTCTCATTCCCTCACCTCGATGCCAGAATGCCCGTCGACATGTCTATGGTCCCTTACAATGGGGGAAACCTTGACGTTGTTTTGTAAGTGATTTTCAAAAAAGTGCTACTAGTTATCTAATCGGAGCAGGCGGCATAATGACTCGGTGGTTGTCTTTGACCGTGCTTCTCAGCAGCTCGTTCTCCGCAATACGTCAGACGAAGACATTGACAACATGGAGCTAGCCAACTGCCCATTCTGCCATCGCTCAATGCGTGATAGTAGTAGAGAACGACACTGTGGGGATTCTGAACCTGAAGGCGAATTCATTAACCCAAACTACTTTCGCATGCTCAACAACAGTCTCCCCAGTTCCGCAACATCCTCGACACCTCCTTCTCCAAGCCAACGCCTTGTTCAGCCCGCTTTCCCACGGGGGCCTATCAATAACAGGCCCGTCCAACCTGCCTCATCACCACAGCCATCGCCACAGGGAATATCCTCTGCAGCATTCAGTCCAGACTACTTCAAGAGGTTCTTCACGGAGGAACGAGTGTTGGGGAAAGGTGGAAAAGGGGTGGTGCTACTAGTGAAGCACGTCCTCGATAGTGTGTCTCTTGGTTACTATGCCTGCAAGCGTGTCCCCGTTGGCGACGATCATGAGTGGCTGGAAAAGGTCCTGGGCGAAGTGCAACTGTTACAGCATCTCTCGCACCAGAATCTTGTCTCGTACCGCCATGTGTGGCTGGAAAATGCGAAAATAACCACCTTCGGCCCTAGTGTACCCTGCGCATTTATTCTACAGCAATACTGCAATGCCGGCGATTTACACGATTACATATGTGGCCCTGTGCAAACCTCCACCACTGCAGAGCAATTGAAGGACCGCCTTCGCCGCAAATCCAAAGGCGAACCGGAGCCTCGAAACAAACTTAGGGGAGCGCGCACGCTTCAGCTAGACGAAATCTATTCTTTCTTTCGTGACATCACTTCTGGACTTCGTTATCTTCACGCCAATGGGTACATCCATCGTGATCTGAAACCACACAACTGCTTGCTTCACGAGACAAGTGATGGCATTAGAGTTTTGGTCAGCGATTTCGGTGAGGTGCAGTCTCAAAATTCAATGCGCAAATCAACTGGTGCAACCGGTACTCTTTCATATTGTGCACCTGAAGTTCTTCGTCAAGAATTTCCTGACGGACCATTCGGCAATTTTACGTTCAAATCCGACATTTTCTCCCTCGGAATGATCCTTTACTTTCTATGTTTTGGAGCTCTTCCATATGCAAATGCCGACCTCATCAACGAAGAAAAAGAGGACTTGGATCAGCTCCGTGCAGAGATCACCAGCTGGGCTGGATTTGATCACGCACGAGCTATCCGCTCCGATCTACCTGAAAAACTGTACAAGTTCCTAGAGCGCTTGCTCTCGGTTGATCCCAGCCGACGACCTTCAGCCGACGAAGTGCTAAATGGCATCCAAGTCGGTGCCAATCCAAAGGAAAACTTTCGGTTCCGAAAAGCCAGCTTGGGAGGCTCCGACGTTCCCGGGGCTCGAATCCGCCCATTGGATAGCCAGCAGCCACCAGTAGAACGATCACTCTCTCCTACCAAAACTATGCGTCGAAATCCAAAATCTTTCCATCGTGACTCGCTGTCTGACTCCAGTCATTTCCGAAGCAATGCGGCGCCTGTGTCTGAGACTAATCCAGAGGAGGGCCCTTCTGCTAGCTTAGATCAAGAAATGATCGTCCGGAAGCGTTACACTACTTCCTCATCGTCATCTCCAGCCCAACCTCCTCATGAATCATCATCGCCCTTTGATCCACAGCCTCAGCCTCAATCAATCCTTCAACAGCATCTTCTCCCACCCCCGCCGAGCCGATTCCCCATCCTTAATTACCTGGAATCTTGGAACCTGTTTCAAGTCTTACCAATCACACTCTTCCTCGTCAAGATCACAACCCTTCTTCATCCATGTTCACCGCTGGCCGTCAACCCCTGGATCCTTTACCCTCTCCTCCTCTCTGCGGCATTTACTTTAAGAGCCCGTAGCATTCAAACTCAGACCCTTGCCGTCTTTTTACACCTTCTGGTTGTAAGCCTGTGCTTTCGTCTAGGCGCCCTGTGTATCTGGCACAGAAATTCGGGGATGAAACTATGAGTATTTTGCAAGCCTTGCATCTCTTTTCTGGTCCTTTTTGATGTACATTTCCACCACGCTATCACGATGATGCCCCCTTTAATTTCTATTGTTTTTAAACGAGTTGATGAGAAATTCTAAGAAAGGCAAGCAGCCACCCTCACTGTATTGAAAAAAATGCGTTGATTGGATTTAAACAGCACACTCCAAAACCATATATGTTATGAGGTCAAAATTGGCGTAAATCGCAAGTAGTCAGGCAGCTTTGCTTCCCTGTCTCCGAAACCGCCAGCTCAACACTTTAGCCATGTTCGAAAGGGTCAAGTACTACAGGAACATCCGTAAATAACCCACCCGTCTCGTTGCTCGAGTCTAACCGAGGCACCTCGAGACCAGAGTTCTGGAAACATTGGTCCTAAAAGAGCTAGGAGAGAGGAAGATGATTAGATTTCGTTAATGATCATTTCAGTCTTTGTGAAAGTACCTACCCAGTCTAGTGTCTCAGACCCATCAATCATCTCTGACATCGACTTCATATAGGGTAGTTCCGGGCTCACTCGAGGAATATCCATAAGAATATCCATAAGAATATCCATAAACACAGCCTCATCGGACGAGAAAGCAGCCTGACGCTCAGCCACTTTACGGGCCATAAAGTCCAAGGCCAGCGACGCAATGCGAGCTTCTGGCGAACGATGGCTATCAACAGCCTAGATCTGTTGGGAGGACTTTGGTGCAGCAATCTCTCTCGAAACAAAGCCGTGGTTTGCGACTCGAGACACACGGATAGATCCAGACCGATGACCATTGCAGCTAAGAGAAAATCGAGAATTGTCAGTGAAGAAAGCATCCACTGGTCTTCTTGTAGATGGCCACCAGGTTAAAATGCTCGATGCAGGTCTGCTTGGCGGGCGAGGATTTCAAAAGCTGCATCTATACAGAAGCGTCGCGAAGACTCAAGTTTGGCATCTTGGTCGTTGTATCGGATATATCGTCGGTCCAGAACAATGAGTCCTTTCAAGTATAGGAGTTCGATGTTGCATCGGTTTGAAATTATCTCGGATGAATCCATGAAGGACTAGTATCTATCCGTTTCAGGAAGTCAGGAAGCAGGCTGTAAGCGCCTCTCATCTCGGTATTTAGAGAATGGGGTATCATATGGTGATGATAACAATTCAATCCTGGTTGTCTCAAAGGCATGCAGTCCTCTAGGTTTGGATAGAAGCTGGGTCAATCTCCAGGTAAGGATAGGAATTTGATGATGAAGCACCAAGAGGGGGACTAAGTGACAAGGCATTAAGGCGTGTTCCAGGTGAAAAGACCAAGTCCAGATATGAGTGCATTCGCTTCAAAAGTGATGTCGAGAGAGAATAAATAAACCACACCTCCATCTATCAATCCTCCAGGCAGTCGATACTCCCGTAGTTGTTCTGAACCTCCCTAGAGAAGTGCGAGCATCATACGAGTTCTCTCCCTTTCTGACAGAATTCAAGGAGTGCAGCCAGAGAAGCTCTCTTTTTGATCTTGGACATCAGTTGGTGAGTGATACCACGGCTTCCCATCTCATGAGGAGATAGGGGTATGCACCTTTTAACTTTTCTTGAGGGTAAACCCATAAGAACTTGAAAGCCCGTAGGTTCGAAGGAAGAAAGAAAGAAGAGAAAAGGAGAGTTTTGCTGGGGACTAGGGGGACTAGGAAGACAAACAAAGCAAACAGTCGAATGGTCTTTTCTGCAGAACAAATACATGCATGTACATTAGAACAGAGATAACCCTGCAACTCTTACAAGACTATCCCATTCGTGAAGCTTTGAACTTGCTCACTCGTTTGGGTTCAGCTTCCTCAGGAGGGAGCAGATCCTGTTCCTCGCCATCTTTAGATGTGCCGTTCAGGCGTCTTTGCATATTGAAGAACTCCGATGCAATCTGCTTCTGATGAAGCTCTTCATCGTAGTGGTCCAATTCAGGAGCCACTGCAGTCCCTGTTTTGATCTGTCGCTCAAAGACCTTTTCAGCCAGAGTTCGATCATGTGGAAATTGAGGCGCAGAAGGTTTCTCAACGATGTCAGAGATCGGCACGGAGAAGGGTTTGGGCTCTGTTGGCGTCGCGGGGAAGAGCACAGGCGGCACCACAGATGGAGCAGTGTTGGCTTGTTTGCGAAGGCGGGATTCGGTGACGATTGATGGAATGGCGATTGTTGCCCGGGGAGCAACATATTCACTAGCGGTACTACCTGGAGTAGCGGCTCGAGCACTTTTGAACCGGGAAGTCTTCTTGGGAACAGCGGGGGTGGCTGTGGGGGACTCTGGGGCACGGCTGCTCCGTTCGACAATGGAATCAGCGAGCACCTGGGGCTCGGCCTGTGGGGCATGAGCCTTCTGGGTAGTGATCGGGGGCGCGGGAGCTGGTGCTATATCAAGTGCATCGGCGAACGCTACCCGTTTCTTAGGCTTCTTCTCTGTGGTGAGAGTTTCAACTTTAGCAGGTTCCGCAATCTCTTGCTGCACTTCCTCGGGGAACGTCGTAGTATCCTTGCCCATGTTCATCAGACCTCGGGCATTGAGCTTGGCTTCCAACTCCATCATCTGCTGGTGGTATTCCGCCGTAAGGTGGGTGTGAGAGCGGCCATGTTCGTCTTCGTTTTCCTCCTCGTCGTAGTCGTAATCGTAGTCCTCGTCAAAGGAAATTTCACTTCCGGACTCATCCATTTCTAACTCTGCCACAATAGCCCCTACCTCGTTGATTCCATAATCGAGCATTTCCCGGCGAAGTCTTGCTTCTTCCGCGGATTCATTCACATCCGTCACAGGTGGCTGCATGCGATCTTCGGCAGTTACCACAGACTGGGGCTGAGAGAATTTCAAAGACGGGCCATTTAGCTCTGTGGTTGCATTGTCGCCATTCAACAAACAATTTTGCTGATCTACAGCATCCGAGTTGACCGGCTCACCCACCGCGCCTTCACGTTCAACATCGGCGAGAATTGCAGCAGTATTCTCCGGCGCACTCGTCTCCGGGATGTCGTTGACACCAGCCTTCTTCAGCACATCTAGCAATTCCGAAGCGTCATTACCAGGCGTGTTGATCTTGCTCGAGACAATGTTTCCCTCCTCATCAAGCTCCTCCATGATTTCCTGCATCGGGAATTCCGCCCCATCCTGCAGCGGCGGCTGATCATCCAGGACCAGAGCGTCCAGCTCATTTTGGGCCTTCAGGATCCTCTTCTCCATAGTCGCAACGTTCTGCTGCACGTAGTCGATGCGTCTTCCGAGAAGATCAACCACTTGCCCGCGAGACCGCATCACGCCTTTCGAACCAAGTATTGTCTGCATTTCCTTCTGATCCACTAGTGTGCCGCCAAATTCCAGAGCCACGGCAAGAAATTCGTCTTTGGTGGCATCGTCTTCTAGGTTGCTGATCTCCTCGCGGAGTCCATCGTATTCTGCTTCCCAGGTTCGCCAGTGGTAGAGCGATTTTTGAAGTTGGAGGATGTTTTCTTCGAGCGCGAGGCGCTGCTCCTCGAGAGCGTCAAGATTGGGGTTCGGTACTCCCATGATTATAAAAAGCGAAGACTAAGTGGCAGCTTCGCACTAACAATGTAACTCGAATGGAACGAGGCAAGAGGATTGCCGGAGGCAAAAGAAAAAAAGTCGCAAAAAGGTGACGATAGTGGTCCGTGCATGAGTTGCTTATCAGCCTCAACCCAGTCTGTGGTTCATCTCTCCCACGTCACTTCACTCTCACCATGGCCTCTGATGCGGCTTCTCGCCGTGATGAAGACGGTAAGCTCCTATTCCGCTTTTTTTTACATATATAATGCTAACCATGTCGTTTCGCAGAAGTTTGCCCTGTCTGCAAATCGTCGCGATACCTGAACCCGGACATGCGCTTTCTCATCAACCCCGAATGTTACCATAAGATGTGCGAGTCGTGCGTAGACCGCATTTTTTCATCCGGTCCTGCAAACTGTCCGGTGGCTGGATGTCGCAAGACACTACGTAAAAACCGGTTCCGCAAGCAGACATTCGAAGATATCGGGGTGGAGAGAGAAGTAGATATCCGGCGGCGTGTAATGCACATGTACGTCTCTTGTCAAACACCCTGAAGCACCCGGTGATATATGTGAGGACTAACAGCTTATCTCAAATAGTCTCAACCGCCGGGAAGAAGAGTTCGACTCAAAACGAGCATATGACGACTTCCTCGAGCAACGAGAGGACATTATCGCGAATCTAGTAAGCCGGATCGACGTGGCGAAAACCGAAGCCCAGCTCCAAAAATACGCAGCAGAAAACATGCAATCAATTCGCAAAAACCAAGCCATAGAAGCCGAGGAAGCCTCCTCCTTCCAAGCCCGCATGACCCTCGAACAAGAAGAAGCCCGACTCCGCCGCCAAGCAGTCCGCCAGGAATACGAGACCGAGCGACGCGAGATCCAAGCCGGACGCGAAGATTTCCTCTCAAGACTCGCCTCCGGCTCATCGACCGATGCCGCGGCCATTGCGCGCGAAGGACACAAGGTGCTGCTCAAGAAGTCGTCCGCGCGCCGCAGCGAGGAAGAACGAATTCGACAGAAACAGGCTGCGCTACGGTCGGAGATCAAACGCGGGACGAATCTTTCCACGGTGGAGCATGCTGGTGCGGTGGATACGGGGTTTGTCAAAGGTCTGCGCAAGATCAAAACGCCCGAGCCGGAGAAACCGTACGACCCGTTTATGGGCTATGTGCCCGACAAGCGCGACTACTATTCTCTCCAGTCGTATTATCCGTCGCAGTATCTTGATCCTATTCGCAATGATGCGCGCATGCTGGCTGGTGGTTATGATTTGCGTGAATACTACTCGCGTACCCTGCTTGAGGCTTTTGCTGGGTTGAGCTGCTTTGTCGGAGAAGAAATCTCACAGCGAGATGCTGCTAAAATTTCGAAGTCCACAGCTACAGAGGGTGCGACTATGGCTGTGGAGGGTGGAGAGAACACTGCCTGACTGCTACTTTGACTTGGTTTTCAATGGCTTTGGGGCCTGCATGGTATTTAAATTGTATTATAGCATAGCGATGGCGTTTTCGATTCGTTAGGGGTATCCCAACTGCATATGGTGTTACCATCATCTAAACGTTGACAAAGAAACTGAGATTGGCACCAACAGCACAACACAATAAAACGGTCTAAAGGAAGAGAGTTGCGCTATATAGTCCACTAGAAGAGATGGAAAAGGTTGTTTCGAAGGCCGCGATGCGACGGCAATGACATTTGAGTATCAAGAACTACCTAACCAACAATCAATTACCCAAATCGATTAAACATACAGATGGGATCAGACGCCAGGAAACAGCGCCAAAGTAGCATCAAAGTAACCAGAATAGTATTAACACACGCAATGCGCTGCAATAAACATCAGCTCAGTGGCCGTCCATAGAAAGGTGGCCAGTCATCTCAGCAGTGCTCTCAATGCCCTCCCAGGGCAGATCCTCCTCCTCATCCAAGTCAATCTGGCCGTGGCGAGAAGACTTATCGGTAGTACCAGTGACATCAGGTGCATGGGACATGTCGGCATCAATTCCAATTGACTCGAGAGTCGCTTCCATTTCTAGCTCGGTCATCTCACGACCATCTTGCCTTTGGCCCTCCAAAACATCATAGAGAGCGTATATTTGATCGGACTTCATGTCAACGTCCTTGAAGATTTTGTCAATTTTTTCTTGCAGGGCCTTGCGCGGGCGCTTGCCGAGTGATGCGTCAAGCTTGTTGTAGGCGCTTTGATATGCGGCCAGTTGCATCTTCAGGTGAGAGAGTTCATCCTCTAGGCCCTTAAGAACAGTAGCAAGAGCCACAGCAGGGGGCTGCGAGGGGCGCATAGTTGGCTCTTCGTTCCAGACGGATGGTTTGGGCATGCGCTCTGACACAGGAATGGGCTTGGCAATCTTCACGGACTCGTGGTTGCAGGTGCCGTTAGTGGAGTGGCCATTGCAAACTGTGCAGTTCTGTCCATTGTGTCGAGCAATGCTATCCAATGCTTTTTGGGTGGCTTGAGGCAACTTAGATGGATGAGCAGCCACCAGATCCACGTGGTGGAGGGTGATGTCAGGAAGGATGAAAGCAGAGGTCATGTCAGGCGCATTTCGCTGCTTCCTGCGCTGGGATGCTGCGGGCAACGAATTGTCCGAATGGCGCCGAGAACGCTCTACAATCGGCACTTTGAGACTGCTATTCCCATCAGCCTTGGCCTTCAAGGCGGTTGTAACATCTCCAGTGGCCGAGGCTGGGCGAGGGATTTCTGCCTTGGATTCGCGAAGAGATGATTTGCGAGGGGCAGGAGTTTTCAAAATGCTCTGTCTAGTCGAGCTGACGGTCTCTGTGGGATTCGATTCCTTAGATTCCTTAGATTCCTTGGGGGAACTCGAACGTCGTTGCTTGCGCATAATTCTCTCTTCTTCCAATGTTTTACGTAGACGGGAGATTTCATGTTCATCAATAACACTCAACAAGGTAACGTCTGTTTCAGATAAAGCCTTGGTATGCTCTGACACCTCCGGCCCAGTCCCATCTTCAACCACCACTCGCTTCACGCGCTGTTTGCTCGTGCTGGGTTGTTTCCGGGAACTCTTTGTATCAGAAGAGCGAGACACAGCTGACTTCAATGGCTTAGAGATTGATGCACGTCTTGATGGCATATCAATAGAGAAGAGAACCTCATCGGCACGTTGCTTTTCAAGGCGAGAAATTTCCTTGTCCACTTGGGTAGACACTTTGGAGCGGGAGTCATCCTGGCGTCTGCTCCTTGTGGCGGAGCGGTTGCTTTTCGATGTAAATTCTCTGGTGCTCCGACTACTGTCCCCACTGCGCTCAGTGTCAGATTGGCTGTCATCAACAACATCAGATACAGCTGAGCTAGCTTCTGACTCGACAGTATCTTGTTCGCGGGCCTTGCGGCCGAAGGCTCGGCTGATCTGGGACTTGAGATCCGCATTCTCCTGTCGCAGTTCCTCGTTTTCGGCCTTTAGCTCTCGAGATTCGAGGTAGGCGGCTCCAAGTTGTGAGATGGCCGACTCTCTGTCATGGTTCAAGCGCTTGATGGCAGACTCTTGGACTTGGGCCTTTCGATCGGCAATGTCCAACTGGTTTTGCAAAGCGAGATTGGCTGCGTCTAACTTTTGGTTCTCGCTTTCCAAGCGCTTAGATCCCTTTTTGTGCCCGTTATCATCTGATTCGTACTTTGCGGATGACTGGCGAGGTCGATTCGCCTTCAAAGAAGAATTCTCCTGACGGTAACTGTCCAGTCTTTTCTCTGCCTCGGATTTGAACATTTCTAGTTCCGCCACCTTGTCCTGAAGTAGCCTTAAATGAACAAACAAGGCCTTCTCATCTTCGGGGACAGGCACTGCATCCAACGGCATGTGCTCGTGGAGGAGAGACACGCCTGTATGCTCATGAAGCGGGGAAACAAATCGGGTAGATCGCATCTTGCTCTGTCGGGAGTAAACGGGTGTACCATCTTCGTACACACCGGAGATGAGGTCGGAAATGTTAGGAAGGTCGGGAAGAAGGAACGATTGATGGGTCATGGTATCGCCAATAGGGTTGGTGTTGGTTGCGTTGGCATTACTTTTGCGGGGGGTTCCTGCATGATTGGAAGTCGATTTGCGGAACTCCTTCGCGTATGCATCCCGCGAAGCTCGCTCAATCGCGTCTGCAATCTCCTGCGAGGCATTTGCGTTTCCAAAACGCGTCGAACGCGTCTTCGTGGTGATTGGAGCAGGTCGTTCGTCTCCCAAAAATGACCCCTCGTAGCTGTCACGCACTTTTGCGTGCATATCGGAAAATGTCCGACGCTGGTCGCGTTGAGCCTTCGATACTTGTGGGCTCATGGTTTCTTTCTGCGCTTGGGTTGCTCGTCGCACCTGAGCGTTCTTTCGTAGGTTTTCACTGACGGCACGGCGCGATGGACGCGTAGCAGCAACTGGCTTTTGTGGTGTGGGATACTCAACGCGAATGGCGGGCGAAGATGAGCGTACACTGTTCTCGAAGCTCATCATAGAGCTGCGCGAGTCGTCGTGTTCTGGTTTGCCAGCACCGCGTCCTACCTCAACGGAAATTTCAAGGTCGCTATGTGAAAGTTCGTCGTCCAAGTCCTGTTCCTCATGTTCCTCCTCTTCGGAGGTCTGTATTTGCGAAAATTCGGGGAAAGCACGGTCAAGTGTTGATGTGTTAATGTCGTAGTCAAGCTCCTCATCAACACGTCGTGTTGAGGTGCCCATTATTTCGTCATCCAAATTGGTGAGCGAAAATGAATCGTCATGTAACCCAGGATTTCTGTTCATTGCAGGCGTTCTGAGATTTAAGGGTGAAGTTGAAGAAAGGAATTGGTTTGTTTTGGAGCAGAGTCGGAATGTTTGGGTCGGGCGCGTCTCGGCAACCCCGGGAAATCTGATTGGCTCAAGTCCCCCCACAGCCGAACAGATATGAATTGCTCAGTGTCCTTCTCTCTCGTGGATTATGTTCGACATTTTGACTGCGACGGCGAAAATTATGCTATGTTTACCCCCAAAGTGTCAAGGGTAATATCACTCCTATCAATCTTGGTGCACCTGAATATGGGAACGTCAATACAAAAAATCGTGATGTCAGGTATCTTTTGTATGACCTTTACTATGTAATACTATACATCCAATTGACGGCCATGGGCCTACCTCCACAGCCAGCGCGATCTCAGACCCCTATAATCTTTCGTGGTTGCTAGCAAGAATAAAACCCGAGAAATCACGATGCAGAGGCTCGGTCTGATCAGTGGACTTGTGCTTGTGTGAAAGGATAATAGACGATGTAACAATCGAAGAAGTATACTCAGCGAGGCTCGGTCTGCAATGTTGCAGTTGCTTCTCTTTATTTCAGATGGCTAATAAGTCTTGGTTGATGAGCATGAGACTTAGGAGCCTTTTCTCTTAATCTCATTATTCTATGATGATCGTTCCCAAGCTTGTCTCACTGGGGACAAATTGCAAAAAAAAAGTGACCTTGATAGCCTTTCAATGAGGATATTAAGACTTGTAATGCAGAAGTTCTTCTCTATACGGTATCGACATTGCTGACTTCGGGTCAAGGCCCTATTTGTGTGGATGTTGGTTGCGACTCCAAATTCTGGGGATTGTGATGGGGATGAGCCCAATGGTGCCTATTTCACAACCGAAGCGGTCCAAACAATGTGTGTCTCAAAAGATAGGAAAAATTTGTGGTTGAGCAGAAGGGACACGAATATCCCGTTAAAGTTGAGGTGGTATGAGTGGACACATCATCGGTGTGGATTCCATGCACAACATATAACTCCGTGGGCCACCTCTACCTTGTAGCTGTGCAATACCCTCCCCAGTCAGAAATCGGCTGAGATGGATCTGCCAATAATACATCAGTCTTCACTAGCGCGGTGTATTGTATATACAATCTACACCCATCTGTAAGTTGCCGCAAGGGAAAAAAACAGTACCCAGAGGAAAAAAAAACATCAAAATTACTAGTTTTCGAAAGATCGGCAAGATCCACATAAATAGAATGATGACTAGGGAGGGTGTAGTGTGCCTTGACCCTCTTATTTCCCGAGTCCATAACTATTCTCCTAAGTATCCCATTATGTAAAGAGTGGTGTTGATGCTCCTTATGCTGGACATCGTTATGGGCTCTCGATCAGAGTGATCTATTTGATCTACATACTCCGCACATATGATCTACATGCCTGCTAATGTTTCAAAAAGATCATCACGCCTCAATCTTCTCGATGCAGTAATGTGGACATTCGAAAAGACTTTTGGGTCTAGTCTATCACCTCCAACTCGGCAGTACTTGGGCCCTTATTCCTTTGTAGTAGGCGCGTGCACAACGTATACGACGTGCCCGCTCGGTTCTTCTTCCTCAGATTTCCATCGGAATCTTCAAATTACAATACCGCAGTTTGCTAGAACTCAATTCGGTGCACATGTAGCCTTCGTCTCTTGTTGTTGGTTGGAGAAATTGGTCTTGGCGTGGCGTATTGTCGGAGGTCCTTAAAGATATACAAGGTACGGAGTATTCCCATACTCCGTACGTGTGCGAAGTAGTACCCCACCCGAAGTAGCTTGCAATGATCCATGTTGTCCCTTTTACTCCCAATACATCTGCTTATCACTACACTGAACGAGTCTAGGGGAATAATAATAATATCACCTAATATACGAAGATTCATAGAAGGGCTCCACCTTAAATGACCTCGGGAGCGCCACACAAACTCTAAATATGCGAGCAACCTTGGAAGCTTGGAAGGAACAAGCTAGCCTTGGAAGCCATTGTAAGACATAGTGGGCCAAGTGGCCGAAACTGCAGAAGGAAAGAAAACATGTGCAACAGAGATTGATATGAATTGAGGCTCATATGGCACATAAAAATGTCTTTGTAGGGTGACAATTGAAATGCCCACATGTGAAATCCTCCCGTTAATGTAGACCGGATACCTCTAGTGATATACATACTACTCCGTACTTGTGAAGGATCTCGTCGCGGGGACCACGTGTTTCAGCAAGAACACTAGACCAATCAGCGGGACCAACCCGCTCACGAGCACACCGTTCTAGGCTAACTCAAATGCTTGAGAGTCACGTCAACATTTAAATATGGACTAAGTTCCCACTTCTTGCATTCTATACCCTTGCAGGTTCCACGTCCTTGTGTTATCATCTACTCACTCCCCCCCCCCCCCCCCCCCCGTCGCAATGGCAGCGTTCTCCAAAGAAAAAGATGAAGAGGGCCTGCTTGAAGAGATCCAAGGTCAAGGTTGGAAGCACCAAGGCCAGAAATCGTCCCACAAATGGCGTACGATGACCCTTTGGTCCCTGCTGGGCGCTTTCGCCCTGTTTGTATACTTCGTGAGAGGACCCCCGTGCAACCACCCTTCGCAAGCCCCAGCCCGGCCTGACCTACCTGTGGCTTCCCCCATTAACAAGTCGAAGAGATCTTCGCACCACGAACATGCCTGCGATACTGTCGACGGCGGTTATCAATGCAACTCTAAGCTCTCACACAAGTGGGGCCAGTATGCACCCTATTTCTCTCTTTCCGACGAATCGGCCATCTCAGATGAGGTACCTCACGATTGTCAGATCACTTTCGCTCAAGTGATCTCCCGTCATGGTGCTCGTTTCCCGTCGGCAAAAAAGAGCAAGGAATATGCCAAGCTCGTCAAAAGCATCAAAGCGAACGCGACTGAGTACAAGGGCAACACGGAATTCATCCGCTCATACAATTACACCATGGGCGCTGATGATTTGGTGCCCTTTGGAGTGAACCAGATGGTGAACTCGGGAACCAAGTTCTACCAGCGCTACGCAGCGTTAGCTAAGAAAGCTGTGCCCTTCATTCGCTCATCTGGCTCGCAACGGGTTGTGGCTTCAGGAGTCAACTTTGTCAATGGTTTCCAGAAGGCAAAGTCGAATGACAAAAATGCCAATCACCGTCAATCAAGCCCCAAGATCAGTGTCATCATCTCCGAAGAGCCTGGCACCAACAACACTCTAAACCACAGCAAGATCTGCCCCAAGTTCGAAGATAGCAAACTCAGCGACGAGGTCGAAGAACAATTTATGGCAATCTTTGTGCCGCCCATCCGAGCCCGTCTCGAGGCGAATCTCCCTGGCATTCAACTCCAAGACACCGATGTGGTCAATCTGATGGACATTTGTCCTTTCGACACAGTGTCCCGGAGTGACGACGGATCCAAGCTATCCCCATTCTGCGCCCTCTTCACCCAAGCCGAATGGAGCCAATACGACTACCTCCAGTCACTGAGCAAGTACTACGGCTACGGCGCAGGCAACCCACTCGGCCCAACCCAGGGTGTCGGGTTCGTGAACGAACTAATCGCTCGTCTCACTCACACCCCAGTGGTGGACAACACAAGCACAAACCGTACGCTCGATGCTCCCAGCGCTGCGACATTCCCCCTTAACTACACCATGTACGCAGACTTCACGCATGACAACGGAATGATTCCGTTCTTCTTTGCTCTGGGACTTTACAACGGCACCGCTCCTCTCTCGCTCACTCAGGCCCAGTCTCCGACCGAAATGGACGGATACTCAGCTACTTGGACGGTGCCTTTCGGTGCTCGTACTTATGTCGAGATGATGCAATGTCGCCGCGACCCGGAGCCGCTCGTGCGAGTCCTCGTTAACGACCGTGTTGTTCCGCTGCACGGTTGCCCGGTGGATAAACTTGGCCGTTGTCGCCGTCGTGATTTCGTCAAGGGGCTCAGTTTTGCCCGCTCTGGTGGTGACTGGCCCCAGTGCTATGCATAGGCGACTTTGAGAAAATTGGTGCAGGGTTGGTTCTCCTATAACCTTCAGCCTTGTGTTTCACGATACCCTCAAGATTCCATCCTTATGTACATATTCTTGTTTTTTTTTGGTCGACGTTAATGCAGCACATAACAATACAACATCGGCGTCTCCGTAACAATCTATTTGTACCTAAAAATATAAGCGCACGGTTCTTACGCATGTCGGTTACCAAACAGGGAATTCAAACAGCCTCCGAACTCCAAAACCATCCAAGATCGCAACCGCTACATGTCAAAAAGCTCTCTCTACCCTTCACTTTTACACAGCTCAATGTGACTGACCATTCCTTTTGACTTGATGCAGGGCAGAAAGAACCCACGCCTCCCAAAGAGACATCTGCTCACGCAAGACATGCACCCCATCATCTCCCAAGTCCTGACTAGACAAAGCACGCAGTCTCTCAAACGAAGTCCGCCTCAACGGCAATAGCTTTCCCCTTATCAAAGCAGGGAGGCCATCAGATGTCAGCAGGACCGTGGTCGGCGACTGAGCAGCCGAAGACGTGCCCGTCGCAACAGTCAAAGAAGATGGCACAGGGCCAGCGGGATAATCATCCAACACCTCGACGCCATTTGAGACAGTCACAGAATCAAAGTGTGCAGTGTAGTCAATATCCTTTAGAACGAGCCGCTCCAGCTGCCCCATTTCC